TGGACTGGGTTAAGCCCGACTTTATATTCATAGCGGAGGACTGAGAGTCCTATGTAGCGCGTCAGGTGTATGTAGCAGTGTTAAGTCTGTCTGCTGACAGTGTCAGCAGACAGACAAGGTGTTGCACCCTTGACATGCTGGATGACAATATCCAGGTGTATATATATATATATATATATATATATATATATATATATATATATATATATATATATAATATATATATATATATATATATATATATATATATATATATATATATATATATAATGAATACACTAAACTAGTGGTTTTAACGCAAATAACAATATTGCGACTAGTCGGGGGTCGAACCCTAGTCTTAAATATTTGACACCTTAGTCCACTACGCCACCAACCTACAGGTGTTAGGTGGTCAGAACCTGACCATGTACCACATCTAACGTCAGCAGGAGCACCATACATATGCTTTTCCCAGGATCCCAACCACACCTGTCGACTAACACCAAGGTACCTACTTACTGCTAGGTGAACAGTGACAGCAGTAGGTGTAAGGAAACACCCCCAATGTTACCACCAGTGCCGGGGATCGATCCCGAACCCTCAGTATATGAGGCGATAGCGTTACCAACCAAGCCACTGCTAGTACAGAAATTAGTCCCGGTTCCTCATCCTAATGTTACCATATTTATTATAAGTAAGCTAAATTATTTTTATTTACACTTGTTATAATGGATAGTGAGAAATCACACCCTTGCTAAAAGTTTGAAGCCTACCAGAAGACTCATTCCCCAGTTACGTCACAGACTCCGGCAGTTCCTGGTATATTATTTGCCTTTGGAAACTCACAAATTTGTATTTTCATAGTATATAACAGTGTTGTGGTTTCTTCAGTCAGTGTTGAAAGTTTCAAGACGATTGGTAGAAGCATTCTTGGGTTATTACTGTGAAAATAGATCTGGGAATGATCTGTATAACAGTAACCAGAGAGCACATGTATGTGCCAGTAGTGTCAGGGGACCAAGACTGTTCAATTACGTCCCAGCATACATAAGGGGGATTACCAAGGAGACCCCTGGCTGTCTTCAAGACCCCTGGCCGTCTTCAAGACCCCTGGCTGTCTTCAAGACCCCTGGCCGTCAAGACCCCTGGCTGTCTTCAAGACCCCTGGCCGTCTTCAAGACCCCTGGCTGTCTTCAAGACCCCTGGCCGTCTTCAAGACCCCTGGCTGTCTTCAAGACCCCTGGCTGTCTTCAAGACCCCTGGCTGTCTTCAAGACCCCTGGCTGTCCTCAAGACCCCTGGCTGTCTTCAAGACCCCTGGCTGTCTTCAAGACCCCTGGCTGTCCTCAAGACCCCTGGCTGTCTTCAATACCCCTGGCTGTCTTCAAGACCCCTGGCTGGCTTCAAGACCACTGGCTGTCTTCAATACCCCTGGCTGTCTTCAAGACCCCTGGCCGTCTTCAAGACCCCTGTCTGTCTTCAAGACCCCTGGCTGTCTTCAATACCCCTGGCTGTCTTCAAGACCCCTGGCTGTCTTCAAGACCCCTGGCTGTCCTCAAGACCCCTGGCTGTCTTCAAGACCCCTGGCTGGCTTCAAGACCCCTGGCTGTCTTCAATACCCCTGGCTGTCTTCAAGACCCCTGGCCGTCTTCAAGACCCCTGGCTCTTCAAGACCCCTGGCGGTCTTCAAGACCCCTGGCTGTCTTCAATACCCCTGGCTGGCTTCAAGACCCCTGGCTGTCTTCAAGACCACTGGCTGTCTTCAAGGCCACTGGCTGTCTTCAAGACCCCTGGCTGTCTTCAAGATCCCTGACTGTCTTCAAGACCACTGGCTGTCTTCAAGACCCCTGGCTTTCTTTAAGACTACTGGTTGTCTTCAATACCCCTGATGTCTTCAAGATCCCTGGCTGTCTTCAAGACCCCTGGCTGTCTTCAATACCCTTGGATGTCGTCAAGACCCCTTGCTGTCTTCACTACCCCTGGCTGTCTTCAATACCCCTGGCTGTCTTCAAGATCCCTGGCTGTCTTTAAGACCACTGGCTGTCTTCAATACCCCTGGTTGTCTTCAAGACCCCTGGCTGTCTTCAAGACCCCTGACTGTCTTCAATACCCCTGGCTGTCTTCAGACCCCTGCCTGTCTTCAAGACTACTGGCTGTCTTCAATACCCCTGGCTGTCTTCAATACCCCTGGCTGTCTTCAATACCCCTGGATGTCTTCAATACCCCTGACTGTCTTCAATACCCCTGGCTGTCTTCAAGACCCCTAGCTGTCTTCAATACCCCTGACTGTCTTCAATACCCCTGGCTGTCTTCAATACCCCTGGTTGTCTTCAAGACCCCTGGCTGTCTTCAATACCCCGGGCTGTCTTCAATACCCCTGGCTGTCTTCAATACCCCTGGCTGTCTTCAGTACCCCTGGCTGTCTTCAATACCCCTGGCTGTCTTCAAGACCCCTGGCTGTCTTTAAGACCACTGGCTGTCTTCAATACCCCTGGTTGTCTTCAAGATCCCTGGCTGTCTTCAAGACCCCTGGCTGTCTTCAATACCCCTGGCTGTCGTCAAGACCCCTTGCTGTCTTCACTACCCCTGGCTGTCTTCAATACCCCTGGCTGTCTTCAAGATCCCTGGCTGTCTTTAAGACCACTGGCTGTCTTCAATACCCCTGGTTGTCTTCAAGACCCCTGGCTGTCTTCAAGACCCCTGACTGTCTTCAATACCCCTGGCTGTCTTCAGACCCCTGCCTGTCTTCAAGACTACTGGCTGTCTTCAATACCCCTGGCTGTCTTCAATACCCCTGGCTGTCTTCAATACCCCTAGATGTCTTCAATACCCCTGACTGTCTTCAATACCCCTGGCTGTCTTCAAGACCCCTAGCTGTCTTCAATACCCCTGACTGTCTTCAATACACCTGGCTGTCTTCAATACCCCTGGTTGTCTTCAAGACCCCTGGCTGTCTTCAATACCCCGGGCTGTCTTCAATACCCCTGGCTGTCTTCAATACCCCTGGCTGTCTTCAGTACCCCTGGCTGTCTTCAATACCCCTGGCTGTCTTCAAGACCCCTGGCTGTCTTTAAGACCACTGGCTGTCTTCAATACCCCTGGTTGTCTTCAAGACCCCTGGCTGTCTTCAAGACCCCTGGCTGTCTTCAATACCCCTGGCTGTCTTCAGACCCCTGCCTGTCTTCAAGACTACTGGCTGTCTTCAATACCCCTGGCTGTCTTCAATATCCCTGGCTGTCTTCAATACCCCTGGATGTCTTCAATACCCCTGACTGTCTTCAATACCCCTGGCTGTCTTCAAGACCCCTAGCTGTCTTCAATACCCCTGACTGTCTTCAATACCCCTGGCTGTCTTCAATACCCCTGGTTGTCTTCAAGACCCCTGGCTGTCTTCAATACCCCGGGCTGTCTTCAATACCCCTGGCTGTCTTCAATACCCCTGGCTGTCTTCAGTACCCCTGGCTGTCTTCAATACCCCTGGCTGTCTTCAAGACCCCTGGCTGTCTTCAAGACCCCTGGCTGTCTTCAATACCCCTGACTGTCTTCAATACCCCTGGTTGTCTTCAATACCCCTGGTTGTCTTCAAGACCCCTGGCTGTCTTCAATACCCCGGGCTGTCTTCAATACCCCTGGTTGTCTTCAAGACCCCTGGTTATCTTCAAGACCCCTGGTTGTCTTCAAGACCCCTGGCTGTCTTCAATACCCCTGGTTGTCTTCAAGACCTCTGGCTGTCTTCAATACCCCTGGTTGCCTTCAAGACCCCTGGCTGTCTTCAATACCCCTGATTGTCTTTAAGACCCCTGGCTGTCTTCGATACCCCTGGTTGTCTTCAAGACCCCTGGCTGATTCAATACCCCTGGTTGTCTTGAAGACCCCTGGTTGTCTTCAATACCCCTGGCTGTCTTCAAGACCCCTGGCTGATTCAATACCCCTGGCTGTCTTCAATACTCCTGGTTGTCTTTAAGACCCCTGGCTGTCTTCAATACCCCTGGTTGTCTTCAAGACCCCTGGCTGATTCAATACCCCTGGTTTTCTTCAAGACCCCTGGCTGTCTTTAAGACCCCTGGCTGTCTTCAATACCCCTGGTTGTCTTCAAGACCCCTGGCTGTCTTCAATACCCCTTGTTGTCTTCAAGACCCCTGGCTGTCTTCAATACCCCTGGTTGTCTTCAAGACCCCTGGCTGTCTTCAATACCCCTGGTTGTCTTCAAGACCCCTGGCTGATTCAATACCCCTGGTTGTCTTCAAGACCCCTGGTTGTCTTCAAGACCCCTGGCTGTCTTCAATATCCCTGGCTGACTCAATGTCCCTGGCTGTCTTCAATACCCCTGGTTGTCTTCAAGACCCCTGGCTGTCTTCAATACCCCTGGCTGATTCAATACCCCTGGCTGTCTTCAAGACCGCTGGTTGTCTTCAAGACCCCTGGCTGTCTTCAAGACACCTGACTGTCTTCAAGACCCCTGACTGTCTTCAAGACCCCTGGCTGTCTTCAAGACCCCTGGCTGTCTTCAAGACCCCTGGCTGTCTTCAAGACCCCTGGCTGTCTTCAAGACCCCTGGCTGTCTTCAAGACCCCTGACTGTCTTCAAGACCCTTGGCTGTCTTCAAGACCCCTGGCTGTCTTCAAGACCCCTGGCTGTCTTCAAGACCCCTGGCTGTCTTCAAGACCCCTGGCTGTCTTCAAGATCCCTGGCTGTCTTCAAGACCCCTGGCTGTCTTTAAGACTACTGGCTGTATTAATAATAATAGTAATAACAATAATAATAATAATAATAATAATAATAATAATAATAATAATAATAATAATAATAATAATAATAATAATAATAATAATAATAATAATAACATTAATAATAATAATAGAAAGACCTTCATGGAAACAAGTTACTTTGACCATTTCTGTGTTATCCTGAGCAACTTACACATGTATTAAACCATGTGTAATAATTAAGCACATGTGTACACGTACCTAAACCAACTTACAAACTTATTGACTTAATAATAATAATAAAAGTCATATTTTTTAGTTCAGACATGAATGTTGTCTGGCTCAGCTGATCACTAGTAAACAACACTCGCCTCCTCAACTCTCTCATTTACGGCCTATTTTTAGGCTTTTTTAGTGTTTTTTCGCTCATTTTAGCCGGCTAATATCATTAATGAAGTGTTAAATAGGTTTTTTAGCCTCGTTTGGGAATATTTTGGTATTTTTGAAGGAGAAATAAGCAGATTATTTGACAAGTTTGAGGTCCATTGTTATTATTTGTTATTATTTTTTGTTTCCAGGAATGAGAGACTTGTGAAGACATTTGGGAATGTTTATTGAGGAAATGTTTATCCTGTTAGTGGCTTCTTCAGTCTAATATGGAGAAGAATGGTGGAAGATTGAGAAGGAGTTTGAGGTAATCAGTCCCTCAGTCTGGAGTCGGTGTCTTCAGTCCATCAGTCTTGATAGGAAAGATTTTGTTGGGATTTTTAACCCCGGAGGGTTAGCCAGCTAGGATAACCCAGTGATAGCAGGTGTAAGGTGACTAACACCCAGGTACCTACTTACTGCTAGGTGAACAGTGACAGCAGGTGTAAGGTGACTAACACCCAGGTACCTATTTACTGCTAGGTGAACAGTGACAGCAGGTGTAAGGTGACTAACACCCAGGTACCTACTTACTGCTAGGTGAACAGTGACAGCAGGTGTAAGGTGACTAACACCCAGGTACTACTTACTGCTAGGTGAACAGTGACAGCAGGTGTAAGGTGACTAACACCCAGGTACCTATTTACTGCTAGGTGAACAGTGACAGCAGGTGTAAGGTGACTAACACCCAGGTACCTACTTACTGCTAGGTGAACAGTGACAGCAGGTGTAAGGTGACTAACACCCAGGTACCTATTTACTGCTAGGTGAACAGTGACAGCAGGTGTAAGGTGACTAACACCCAGGTACCTATTTACTGCTAGGTGAACAGTGACAGCAGGTGTAAGGTGACTAACACCCAATGCTTCCACCTGTGCTGGGGATTGAACCATGGACACTCATTGTGTGAGGCCAGAGTGTTGCCTACCAGGCCAGATTGATGGACTGATGATACGGGACTGATTACCTCAAACTCCTCATCTTCCACCCTTCTTCTCTGTATCAGACTGAAGAAGTCACTGGCTGGAGAAACATTCACAAATGTCTTCAACTTGTTAGTTTTCTAAACCATTTTCATCGTATTTTTGTAAGATAATATTGTTCTACATTCTTCTGCTTGTTAATTTAATCAAAATTTCAGCACCTGAGACGAGAGCCGCCACTGGACACAGTTTTGTTCACTAACCCTCCAAAAAGCAGCGGCGAGAGTATCGTAATTAACAATGGTTAGTAAAATACAGTATTTATACAGTGGTACCTCGAGTTACGAATATAATTCATTCCAGAAGGCTGTTCAAGTACCGATACCGAACAAATTTGTTCCCGTAAGGAATAATATAAATTAGATTAGTCCATCTCAGACCCCCAATAATACACTTACAAAAGCACTTACAAAAATACACTTACAAAATTGTTCGAGTTGGGAGCTGTTCGAAACTCCAGGTACCACTGTATTTAGTTTATACAAAATAGCTACTGATGAAAATATATTGAATTTCCCAGGGTATAATATAGTGAATTTCCCAGCACTTAATATATTGAATTCCCCAGCACTTAATATATTGAATTTTCCAGTGCTTAATATATTGAATTTTCCAGTGCTTAATATATTGAATTTTCCAGTGCTTAATATATTGAATTTCCCAGCACTTAATATATTGAATTTTCCAGCACTTAATATATTGAATTTTCCAGTGCTTAATATATTGAATTTTCCAGTGCTTAATATATTGAATTTTCCAGCACTTAATATATTGAATTTTCCAGTGCTTAATATATTGAATTTTCCAGCACTTAATATATTGAATTTTCCAGCACTTAATATATTGAATTTTCCAGTGCTTAATATATTGAATTTTCCAGTGCTTAATGAAGTGTATTTCCCAGCGGATACTCTAGCGCATTTCCCAGGACTTTCATGACTTCTCACATTATCAGTTCCACAATAATGTGAGGAATCACGAAAGTGCTTGGATGTTCACTATATTGTGATAACACTTGTTTACTGTGTTCTTATTGCATATATAATTATGTATTAAGATGAGGTAGCCATGGAATATAAAATATATTGGCTCTAAAAAATGTGAAATAATGAATAATGCTGAAGATACTAAATGAAATATTGAGTAGAATGGTGTAAAGTTTATTATGAAGAAATATTTAAACCAATGGTATTGTGTTTTATGTAATTGCTGCAATATTGCAAGGAACAATGTAATAACTTGCAAATACATCTACCATCCGACTTACGACCTGCTCGACTTACGACCACTCGACTTATGACCGTGTTTTTTATGCCAAATTTCTGGGAAATAAACAACTATTTGTGTTGTACAGTGTTTATCCTAAACCTTACAGTATAAAATACAGCACTAAGAGCATAAAAAGTAAAGTAAAACATAAAATACCAAAATAAAATAAAATAAAGTCATTACAAAAATGTTTTGTTGATATTCAGTAGTAAAGTTCGACTTACGACCATTTCAACTTGCGACCGGTTTCTCGGAACCGAACTCGGTCGTAAGTCGGATGGTAGGTGTACAGTCATACCCCACCCTGTGCCATTAACCCTTTCAGGGTCCAAGGCCTAAATCTGGAGTCACGCACCAGTGTCCAAGAATTTTAAAAAAATAAATTTGTTATTTTTTCTTATGAAATCGTAGAGAATCTTTTTCTGAAGGTAATAAAACAAAAAGTACGAAATTTGGTGGAAAATTGACGAAATTATGATCTCACGAATTTTGATGTGTCAGCGATATTTACGAATCGGCGATTTTGCCGACTTTGACTCCCATTTTAGGCCAATTACATTATTCCAATCAACCAAATTCTTAGCTATTTCACTAGTATTACTTCTATTCTATCGATTGAGCACAAGAAATCGCCAAGTCAACTGTTTCAACTACAAAATAAAGTGATCGGAAATTGTTAATTTGGCCAATTTAACACAAAGTTCAAAATATTCCAATTTCAAAATAGGGTCCAGAATGAACAATGTAGGCATTCCTGGCACTAAACTAACATTTCCTCTGTTCATTAGTTATGTTTTGAGGCTTTACAAATAAATTCCATTTTGATTTTTTATTCACATAATGAATTTTTATTCACACCAAAAAATAGAAGATTTACTGTTATGCACTGTATAGTCCTTGTGGCTTAGCGCTTCTTTTTGATTATATACTGTTATGCAATACTGTAATAATTGTATAAATATCATCACCATATTTGTGAATGTATATTAGACCCACCAGCTGATGTGTATTAGACGTGTGAGGTCGTTTGTTTACTCTTGAATATCGGCAAAAATTTAACATTTCCGCTACTTTGAGCTCAGTTTCAAGCCATTTCCAGTGCTAAAACCAATCAAAATCATCTCTATTTCTGTAATATGTCTTCCATTCTATCAAATGAGACCAAGAAATCGCAAATACAACTATAAAATACATACGAAAAAACACTGCAAAGTTGCTGTTTTAATCGAAAAATCATGATTTCAGTTTTTTTCTCTCATTATACACAGTGTGCTGCAGGATCTGTTTTATGTGGTGCACACATACCACATAGATGTATTCTCTCATATCTAGGCCCAAATGTACCACTCACAGTTTATCAGAGTGAGCTGAGCTCATGGCGTAGATCTACGGTTTGGACACTCACCGTAAAGCCGTAGATCTACGGGACGGACCCTGAAAGGGTTAATTGGTTCCAAGAGCTGCGACGTAACCCAGTTTTTTATATAAACCGGACATGATGCCTTGAAAGTGATGACAAACATACGCTATTCCTTTAGTTCATCAAAAGTTTCTTATTTGATCCTTATTTCTATGTTATTTATCTAATTCAAGCACACGTCTGCATTATTCATAACAAAAATATTGTAATTTATTTTTATTTTTGTATCTTATTGCATATTTGTTTGAAGATGAATGTATAATTCTGTTTTTGCTTGGTTTCTAATAAGGTCACTCTTCAAGGGTGGGAGGGAGCCTTGCTGGTAGTGAATGATGGTTGATCCAAGGAACTGGAGCTACCCTTCCTTTCACCAATAACCCACACTTAGGAAAGGCATATTAGTCTGATATTTTGGTCCAGAATGGACCATGATAATGGCCCATCTCGGACCGAAACATCATCCTACCGTTCCTGTACTAAGTGCAGGTTTCTAGTGAATTGTTGCAGCCACGGTGTTCTGGGTTTTTATTCTTTACCTTTCCTTTCTTTGAATCAGAGTTAATTACCTCTAGTCACCAGCTGCTGTACAATGCTATGGATTTAGTTCTTATCATCAAATATATAATATATTTTTATCCTTGTAATATTTTTAATGCTTGAAATTATATTTGTATACCTGCTCAGTACCCCATATCTAGTTCTTAGGTAGTCTGGAACCATTAGTATTAGTCTATCTGAAATGCTCTGCATGCTTGTGGCTTTCTTTGTCACTAACAGTTTTTTTTTTTTTTTTTTTTTTCAACAAGTTGGCCGTCTCCCACCGAGGCAGGGTGACCCAAAAAAGAAAGAAAATCCCCAAAAAGAAAATACTTTCATCATCATTCAACACTTTCACCACACTCGCACATTATCACTGTTTTTGCAGAGGTGCTCAGAATACAACAGTCTAGAAGCATACACATATAAAGATACACAACATATCCCTCCAAACTGCCAATACAGTTTTTATTATATATAAAATTACATTTTTATACTGCAGGAAGAAATAAAATACCGTATTTCACGACTTATTAGATGCATTTTTTTTCCATAAAATGTCTCCAAAAACCACCCTGCATCCTATAAACTGAAGGTCAGTGACGAGAGCTATAAGTCTGGGGTGTGGGGTGGGCTGTAGTTCTCCCAGTTATGTCCAATGCCGAGCCATTGAAAGTAAGACAAGTCTTATAAGCCTCGTCTTATAAGCCACGGAATACAGTAAATAAAGTGTAAGTAGTTCAGTTGATGATATTCGTAAGTACAGCATTATTAGATTTCTTTGTGTCCCTTCAATGGAAGAGCCTTGATTCTGGTGAAGAGCTCTTGATCCAAGAAATTACAGTTACCCTCCTTGTCCTCAGATCAAACTTGATTACTTCTCAGTTTCTAGACACTGCATGACCCCTAAGATTTAGTACCTCCCTGTGCGACTAATCAGTGGTCCAAGTCAGACCAAAACATCATCGCAAGTTTCTGCTATGTGCGGCTTATTTGTATATGATAAATACAATGTTTCTTAATGTATCATCAGGCGAGTCATCCCAAAGATGTGGTCATCACTGATGAGCATCCCAAGACACTCTTACTCCAAAAACACGCTGACTATATTATTGGCTACAGCAAAAAGGAGGAGGATTATGTAGGTTTGAATAAGATTGTTCTTGTGATTTGTTTGCATATTATATACTCAGTAGAGTTAATAATAATAATTCCATAATATAATACCATTAATAATAAGAATGAAAATAAGTCACAATATTTGACATTATAGAATTATCTTAAGTGTACATAATGCATCACCACATTATTATATTTGCATACAAAATGTGTGTCCTCAGAACTACTGTTCTGCTGGCTTTAAAATCATTTGTATATTTCTTATATAAATGTTATCTTGTGTAACTTACACAGTATTTATTAGTAAAGCCATTACCTGTACATATTAAGATACGCCCTACAGGTTTGCCTTAATTTGGTGTAAAAATATTTGTTATTTTCTTTACACCATAAGTATAACTGTTATACCTCATGGTTTTTTCCATATGTAGGAATTCACCATGACCGAGCACTTCCGCATGTCTGGCATGTACTGGGGCATAACAGCAGTGGATCTACTGTCACAGTTGGACAGGATGGATCGGTCTGCAATAATAGAATTTGTTCGTCAGTGTCAAGACAAAACATCTGGGGGATTTTCTCCAAGCCTAGGCCACGACGCTCATTTACTCTACACGCTCAGTGCTGTGCAGGTCTTTAGCACTTATCATTTTTTATATATATATATAAAGTAAGGGCTAACAGTGTCATAACCATGGTAACAAAAAAAATAAATGCCATAAATTTACGTTCAGTTCAACCCTCCAAAGTTTGTGGGCTTCTAAATTCACATTATTCTTAATTTGCAATACAGATGCTCCTCACTTTACAGTGGTTCACCTTATGATGTTTTGACTTTATGATAGTGCGATAGCGATGCACATTCAGTGAGAAAGTTGCTTGTACAGTACTGTACATTTATTGATAGGATAAACTTGTATTCATTTATTAGTGTTTAGTTACAGTAATTCTTTGTTTATTTACTTATTTAGTTATATTAATTATTTATTTATCATATCATATTCATATTCTTTCTATGATATTTTCAGCTTAAATTGGAATGTAACCCCATCATAGGTTGAGGAGCACCTGCATTCTCAAATTGCAGGAATTCTTAGTTTACAGAATTTAATTATCTAACAAGCTTACTGATGGGGATCCCTTGAATAGGTTTAATTATTCACAAGTTTTTTAACTGGGATCAGTTTTGAGGGAATAGGTTCTTGATCTCTATACTGAATATTAATCATAGAATTTCACGCAGAATATTCTCAATAGCTGTCTCATGTTCCAGTAACTTTTTTTTGTCACTTCTATGAATATCAATAGAATACGGTAAACCAGTCTCTATAATGGACTTTCACATAATAGACTTTGGGAATGTTGAATAAAAACCACTGGGTCAGTCAGTTTGGAAACAGTGGACAAAGTCCATTGGTTACAGTTTTATCCAGTATTGTTGCAATCATGGCAAAAAATTATCTTTAGTATCCACCACAACTGGCCACCTGCTTCCCCAATTAGTCCATTAGATAGAGGGCTTATTGTATTTTCAAAATATAGAAAAATATTGAAAGAGATATACTGTATACTGTGTCTTCTGAAAAAAATAAAATCTCATGTATGGAACAAAATTTATTTTGCGGTAATTAGGAATTTGATCGTGTATGTTTGAAAATAAAACACACTTGTGGTAAAGTTCAGAAGTTGAGTTTGACCTTACTATTGGTAATGCCTCATTTATGTTTTGGAATCATAGAATGAGTCTTCATTAACCCGTAAACGGTCCAAGCAGATCTACGTTCACATGTGTAGTGCTACAAAAGTAGATCTACGTTTTTTTTACATATTTTCAAATATAACAAAAAAAAAAGTAGATCAAAGTTTTTTTACACATTTTCAAATGTAAAAAAACAAAAAGAAGATCTATTTTTTTTTCATACTTTCAAATGTTGAAAAAACGTATATATACGTTTGGACCATTTACGGGTTAAAGATGGAACCTTCAGAGAAGAGCCAAACCATGGAACGGGTGAGGTTTGAACCTATGGTAAGTGAGTGGTAAAACTCCAGGACTCACTTACCGAGGGTTCATACCCCACCTGTTCCATGGTTTGCTTTCAGTTGTGTTATCATGATTTCATGGCTCAGAGAGGAAGGCTCTCACTGGATGTAGACCTATCAAAAGATAGGTTTATGAAAGATGAGGCGAACCGTTGAATAGATGAGGGGAAAAATTGAGAGGTGAGGTGTTGAGGTGTCTGTGTAAAGAAGGAAGCTTATCAGTGGAGGCATGAAGGACATTTACCAAAGTCTAGTGGGTGTGGTGAATTAGCTTTTAACATTGAGGTGAGAAGGACACAGGAAGCAAAGATATCATGCTTGAGAACAATGTGTGGTGTAATGTTAAGCAAATAATTCATGGCATAGAAATTAGAAGGTGGCGTGGGATTGTGTAGGATTTTTTTTTTCTTTCAACAAGTCGGCGGTCTCCCACCGAGGCAAGGTGACCCAAAAAAGAAAGAAAACCCCCAAAAAGAAAATACTTTCATCATTCAACTTTTTCCACCTCACTCAAACATAACCACTGTTTTTGCAGAGGTGCCCAGAATACAACAGTTTAGAAGTACTATATACGTATAAAGATACACAATATACCCCTCCAAACCGATTTACTCATGTAATATTTCAGATACCTACCAGTATCACTATGTAGAATGTCATTTTTTTTGGATGCTGGTCAGTTTAGCACTTACTTTAATTCTTCTTCTTTCTTTCAACACACCGGTCGTATCCCACCAAGGCAGGGTGGCCCAAAAAGAAAAACGAAAGTTTCTCTTTTAAATTTAGTAATTTATACGGGAGAAGGAGTTACTAGCCCCTTCTCCGGCATTTTAGTCGCCTCTTACAACACATGGCTTACGGAGGAAGAATTCTGTTCCACTTCCCCATGGAGATAAGAGGAAATAAACAAGAACAAGAACTAGAAAGAAAGTAAAGAATGCCCAGAGGGGTGTGTATATACAGTCAGCCAACTACCCCCCCCCCCACCCATCCAGCCACCCATCCACCCACCCATCCAGCCACCCACCCATCATCCAGCCACCCAGCCACCACCACCCATCCACCCACCCATCCAGCCACCCATCCAGCCAGTCAGCCACCCACCCAGCCAACCACAGACCCGGCCACCCAGCCAGCCAGCCAGATACGTATTACACACGTTCCAGAGTTGTTTCTCTTTACTTAGGGTATAGGTTACACAACATTCTGGCAGGATGACACTACCAGTGGTATTCTCCCATTCCACTGTGTCGACAATACATATAGATAATAGTAACATACGATACTGTATGCGATGTAAAATTTACAATACATATCACTACCATGTATACATTATATACAGTACATAAATAATTAAAATACAACAATAGAAGTAAATTATGGTAAAAAGAATGAAATAATGATTGTACATTACATTACAGTATTATGTAGGTAGTTTATATAGGAAAGTTTTGACATTATACCCTACCCAATATGTCGGCAATTTTCAAAGGTTCGACTTACGTCCATTTCGACTTACGACCGGTTGGTCGGAACCAAGCTTGGTCGTAAGTCGGATGGTAGGTGTATATGCTTGTACATGTATGTGTAGTGTGACCTAAGTGCAAGTAGAAGTAGCAAGACATACCTGAAATCTTGCATGTTTATGAGACAGACAAAAGACACCAGCAATCCTACCATCATGTAAAACAATTACAGGTTTTCGTTATACACCCACTTGGCAGGACGGTAGTACCTCCCTGGGTGGTTGCTGTCTACCAACCTACTACCTAGGCTTTTTTAATTTTATTATCAAACTGGCCGATTCCACCAAGGGATGGCCCAAAAAGAAAAACATCACATCATCAGTCATCCGTCTTGCGAAGGTGCTTTACACTACAGTTTTGAAACTGTAACATTACACCCTCCTGGGTGACATGTACAGGCTTACTAATTACAATATTTTATTCAATCTGTGTGATATGATGCATGATAAGTGGTACCGAGGCATATCAGTCATTGTGGTCTTCAGAATGAGATGGTTCATTTCTTCGCGACATGAGAGTTGACACAAGATTTCCTTTGGCTGTAGCATGATTGTTTACTAGTAAGTTCTCTCTTATACATAGCACTCTGTTCTTGACTGATGGTTACTATAATTTGTAGCATAATAATAGTAAAATTAGAACTTGGAAACTACAAAAAGCATTAAGTATGTGTTGTTTTTATACTTTTCTTGCAGAAAAGGTTGGATGCAATAGATATAGACAAGGCAGTTGAGTTTGTGATGAAATGTCAGAATGTGGATGGTGGTTTTGGTACAAGACCTGGCTCTGAGAGCCATGCAGGACAGATATACTGTTGTGTTGGCCTCCTCTCTGTCACAGGTCAGTCTTAATACACTCTGCATTATGATCGTAGTTGTTGTTATTCCCTTTGATCCAAAGAATTGGAGTTGCCCCGTCATCCTCAAATCAAATCTGAGTACCCCTTGTCACCTTTCTCAATTCCCTGGTGCTGTATCACCCTGATGGGTATAGAGCATACCCTTGAATGTAATACAGTAATAGTAATGAAATTGTGACATTTTATTGTGGCAACATTTTGCTCTCAAGGATCTTTATCCAGTGTGCAGATCACTTACATTTTCTTGTTATTTTAGGTCAGTTACACAGAGTGAATGGAGACCTCCTTGGTTGGTGGCTTTGTGAGCGTCAGTTACCATCAGGGGGGCTAAATGGACGACCAGAAAAGCTGCCAGATGTATGTTATTCATGGTGGGTGTTGGCATCTCTTAAAATGCTCGACAGACTTCATTGGATTAATGCAAATAAAATGCGTCTCTTCATAATGGCAACGCAGGTAAGATGAATAGATTTCATTTACAGCATTGTTTATCCTCTTATTAACTATACTGTATCTGTACAGTATCAGTTTCTTAGTATTTCCACTGATGACAGTGAAGGACTCGTGATCCAAGGACTTTGAGATACCCTCCACTTCCTTGGATCAAATCTGATTAAAGTACTTTCCATTGTACAGGTTCTGTATGACCCCTGTGGGTTTTAAAAAACTATATATTATCATTCCCAATGAAACTATTCACTCTATGGAGAAGAAATTGTTACAGAGTAATATTATAAGAAACTGAACAATATAAACGAATGACTGAATGTGAATAGAAGTATGATGCATGGAGGCAGATGAGAGATATAAAGTTAGTGTACTGTATTTAAGAAGAGATTTTGCAGGTTATATTATTCTGAACAATGCCCTAGCTGTGTATACAGATTTATACTGTACAATAGGGTGCTGCTTTATGGTAATTTGCTAATACAGACATTTCAATTATGACCAAAAATTTGTTTATACGATAAAATTCACTATCACAGCATCTGCATGCCACTGTTTGTCTGTTTACATCCTCCATGAGCTCCATGTCTCTCGATTATGTAGCTTGTACTTAAATAAACTTACACACTGTGCTGGCATGCAGGTATACACTAAAATCACTAAGAGTGTCTCACTAGTGTTGAAGATGCAATAAGCATAATAATAATAATAATCACTCTGGGGTGCTTTAAATGTCGTATATTATGTTGTTATAGATCTTTCTTCTTTTAACGTACCAGCCGTATCCCACTGAGGTGGCGTGGCCCAAAAGAAAAAACTAAAGTTTCTCCTTTTAAATTTAGTAATACAGTGGACCCTCGACTAACGATATTAATTGGTACCCGAGAATGATTATCGTTAGTCGAGTTTTTTTAACGTTAGTCGAGGCAACATGTTAGCGTTAACATGTATCGTTAGTCGAATTTAACGTTAGCCGATGCCATCGTTGGTCGAGGGTCCACTGTATATACAGGAGAAGGGGTTACTAGCCCCTTGTGCCCGGCATTTTAGTCACCTCTTACAACACGCATGGTTTACAGAGGAAGAATTCTGTTCCACTTCCCCATGGAGATAAGAGGAAATAAACAAGAAGAAGAATTAGAAAGAAAATAGAAGAAAACCCAGAAGGGTGTGTATATATATGTTTGTACATGTATGTGTAGTGTGACCTAAGTGTAAGTAGAAGTAGCAAGACGTACCTGAAATCTTGTATGTGTATGAGACAGAAAAAAAAGACACCAGCAATCCTACCATCGTGTAAAACAATTACAGGCTTACCGTTTTACACTCGCTTAGCAGGATGGTAGTACCTCCCTGGGCGGTTGCTGTCTACCAACCTACTACCTAGGATAAACATAATATGTACAACTATAGTATAACAAATTGACATAAATATTAGCTGTGGTAGCCAAGTGGCTTATAGGAGTGATGGCAGGAATTCTGTTTCCTCTAGTCCAACACCAGAGAAACTGAGTACAGTATAGTATTACTGGGGTAACTGCAGAAAAATATTCTTTTGGATGGCTTCACTCATAGTGTCTAACAACTGCTACCAAGAATATTAAAATTAGGCATTTAGATTATTATATTGTAGGAGTTTGAAATAACAAGCTTTGTTGGTCAAAGTCAAAGATATTTTTCCATGTGATACAATGTTCATACTGAGATGGGTGACATTTAGAAGGAAAGTCCCATGTTTATGCAGAGCATTTCTAGACTATAGAGCAAGGAATGCTGTATATCAGAAAGTGAAGCATGTGACACCATGATTAATATATAAGTTTGGTTATGTATTTACACAGGATCCTGAGACAGGTGGTTTTACCGACCGGCCGGGCGATATGGTTGACCTCTACCATACGCACTTTGGACTTGCCGGGCTCTCGTTGCTTGGAGAACCTGGACTTAAACAGATCAATCCTGTCTTTTGCATGCCCCAGTATGTTATTGATCGCATCTCTGTGTCCGTTCAGATATTAGCCACATGATTAACTATATAAAGGTACTGCATTTTTTATATTTCCTTAATAACTTAAGACAGTGTGAAGTTTTATATTAAAAAATCTATTTGATGTAATACAGGTTGCATAATTTAATTTTAAGCTGTTTTATTGTACATTCCATAAGTAGTGTTGATTGTTTAATTGTATCGAGTTGTGGCAAAGTAAAGAGCATAACAAATACTGTAGATGACATAATGATTCATTGCATAAACAATTATAAATGCTCTTGTAAACAATAACTACCAGAAATGTGACAAATGAAATAATTATCTTGCTTTTAAAGGCTTAAATACCAAGTATAAGTTCCAACAGAGCACACATTACTAAAGAGCACCTATATAGACCTCATTATTCAAAAATAATGAACACTCTAGTTAAATTATTATCTTTCACTATTTTTGTAGTTCACACAATACTATTACCAAATAACACCTGTGATAATGTTACCATAATTGATATAGTTTAGATTGTTCTACATTATTGATGATCAGGAAAAATTTCTCTTCAGCTAGTACATGTACATTAATTTTTTCTAGTTAGTATGAGACTGCAAATATGACTTTCAGAACAGTCAAATATTCACAGCTAAAATATAAATTAGAGATGAACCTAGCCAGTGTTTGGGATCATCCTGGACTATAATGAAGCTGTGAGTGAAAAAGAATAAGTGGAGAGCTGTGGTTGGTCAGCCCATAAGATAGGCCTCTGCAGGAATTATCTATCCTTCTTGTAGTCTTCAGCTGCTTGTTCAACTACCTTGCGTAGCTTTAAGAAGAGACTAGACAAATATATGAGTGGGAGGGGCTGGGTTTGAATGGTGTCATTGGGTACGGGAGTTATTTCTTGGGTACCTTTAGGTAGAGGTCGTTTTGATAAGGACCTGCCTCGCATGGGCCAGTAGGCCTTCTGCAGTGTTCCTACATTCTTATGTTCTTATATCTAATGTGAATCTTAACCCTAACTTTATTTTGTGAGTACTTGCCTTTCACAGCACAGTTAAATGCTCTGCTCTTTAGAACACAGATTACATTACCTGTCCTTGACTGTCTGTTAACATCTTTGCCACACGTGCCTGCTGATTTTCTCTCTCATTTGCCTCATAAAGTAGTTTTACCTTGTGTATAGGTCTGTACGGTATCTAACATTGTCACGTGCACTGAATGACATGTCAAGTATGTTATAAATCTAACAACTTCCATTATTCATCTCTCACTTGCGAGTTGATCAACAATAGTCCCTTATAAACCAAAACATCCAGTTTCATCCATTTATGAATTAGTTGTGAATTGTTCCAGCCACAGTATTTTTAATTTGTTCTCCAGTCAAGTAGCTCCTTTTATGAAATCTGTAACAGTCATCCAGATACCAACAGTCATCATTGACACACAAAATTTAAGTGTTTGCAGAAATTACTCTAATTTAAATTCAGTCATTTAATTTGTTGTTTTATAAGTCTTGGAAGAAATGAACACAGGAAGTAAATCTCACCTACATCAGACTTAATATTTTACTAAAATCACTGTTGGTGTTGGTGTTATTTTTGAAGATATTTGATAGTGTTTCTTTTACTGTGTCTCTCTCATACTCTGATACAAAAATATATGCCATAAACATTATATTTTTGTTTAGAATCTGTAGTACTGAGCAATATCATGTGGTCTCTTAAGATTTTAATTTATATTAATTATTCAGCTGTGCATTGACTAGATATTCTGCCAGCATCCTTAGCATGCTTCTGATTTGAATTGATGGAAGATATAAATGTCTTAAAGCATCTCCTCGTACATTTAAACCCTTTTTCTAAATTGTTTTCATAATTATATTCATGGGGAAAGCAGTAAATTCACAAGACATCATACAGTGTATGAGAAATAGGAGCAGTCAAGTTTGATCAGACGATAACTCCAGTTTCTTCTGACCAAAAGATCTTCACTGGCATAAATGCTTTCCCTAATAAACCCCCTACCTTAACATTTACTGTACTATATAATCTTCAACATTCAGGCTTATTCACCCTACATCTTGCATGATAATTATTACTAATGCTATATTCATGTGACCAAAACACAGTCAAGTGTTATTTCCCAGAACTGGCACCAATGAAGGGAGGATGGACAGTTCAAGTATGGTTCGATTTAAGACAGCTCACTGATCACTACTGGGGACTATCGATGCTGCCAGTGATCTTGCAGGACGTGAGATAGTACCAGAATACAGGAAAGAGAGAACTGCAGATCCTTCAATGGTGAGGTAACAGTGCATGTTCATCCTTGTCTGAAACACAGTCACTTTCAATTATGTTCATGGGGACTTGTGATGCTGCCAGTGATCTTGCATGATCTGTGATAGTACCAGAATACTGTATAGATAATGGTATCCACCTGCAGAAGACTGAAAGATTCTGAAATGCAGACATTTCAAGAAAGGGTACTTTGATATTGGTGAGGAGTTCTTGATCCAAGAAATTGAAGCAATGGTAATACAGTGGTAGAATATACTGACAGAATTTAAATAAAACAATGTGGATTATGGAATTTTATTAATGAAGACATTTCTCCCACCAGGAGCTGTCAGTTCGTACAAATAACATACGAGTAGGTATGTGCATATAGCAGTTAGGGGAGGTCCTGAGGTGAAAGAATGTAGTTGTATGTGAGTAGTCAGTCAAATAGGTTAGGTTAGGTGATCACAGTGTCAGGTTTATGGAAATTAACCCTCACTAAGAATTTGAGGGAGATTATTGGTAGTGGTAAATACTACTGATTCTAAGCATAATTATCTGCAATGGTCACTTTCTGTAAAGATAAGTCTTGCCTCTGGGAAATATATATCATGGTTCTCGGTCTAGAGTGCATACATTACCATCGTTCTTCCTGCAAGTGTGTTATGTTCTTTAACTCGAGATATTTGGGTCCCTTTAAGTCCTTCCTACATGAACGTTCTCACAAGCTTCACACAGTATGGTGTGAATGCCAGCAGTGGTGTTCATTTGTTTACCTTTCTTTTTGATCAGGTCTTTTATAGTTTTTAATGAAATGTTGGTAACCCCTTATATTGAGTTTTGCTAAGGTAATGTAAAGTTCTCAAAGCTCAGAATCATTCAGTCTCTGAAGTTTTAGCAAGGTTTATTCTTCTTAACCCTTTGAGGGTCGACAGGCCCTCTCCGAAACTCGTTCTCAGGGTCGGCCAAATTAAAAAAAAAAAAAAATTCTTATGAAAAGATAGAGAATCTTTTCCCGATCATAATGACACCAAAATTCTGAAATTTGATGGAAAACTTACGGAATTATGCTCTCGCGAAGTTAGCGGTCTCGGTGATGTTTACGCATCGGTAATTTTGCACACTTTGAGCCCCATTTTCGGCCAATACCACTGCACTAGTCGACAAAAAACATGAATATTTCGCTAGAACTCCATTTTTTCTATCGAATGAGTGCAAGAAACCACCCATTTACCAATTTCAACTATCCAGTACAGTGGTCAGAATTTAGCAATTTTGCCAATTTCACACAAATTTCAAAAGATGCCAATTTCCGAATAGGGTCCAGAATAAACAAGAAGGACATTTCTGGCACTAAAATGACATTTCCTCTAGTCATTAGTCACGTCTCAAGGCCCCTCTTATATTCTTTTGCTTTCCACTTTGAATTTTTATTCTCACAAAAAAATAGAAGATTTACTGTTATGCAGACTACTGCATTAGTGTAAAAAATGGTATAAATAATATTGGCGCACTTGCAAAAGAATATTAGACTCACCAGTTGACATGTATTGGACGCTTGGCATGATTTATTTACTTTTGAACTTTGGTAAAAATCGAACATTTCTGCTACTTTGAGCTCAATTTCAAGCTACTTTTCATTGTAAAACCAGTCAAAATCATCTCAATTTCTGTAATATGTCTTCCATTCTATAAAATGAGACCAAGAAAACTAGAATACAACAATAAATACCATACGAAAATACAGTGCAAAGTTGCTGTTTTATTCCAAAAAAACAAAGTTTTTTTTTTCTCATTATGCACTGTGCTGCAGGATTTTTTTTTATACTGTGCACACTGAGCACATAGACCCATTCTTTCATATGTAGCCCTACCAGCTTTCTCCCACTAGATTTGAGGGCGCTAGAATTTAGGCGTACTAGTACGTCAAAAACCCTGGGTCGTAAGCCGTACTAGTACGGCCGAAAACCTCAAAGGGTTAAACCTGACACTGTGATCACCTAACTTCAACTTGACTGGCTGCTCATATACAAGTACTGTACATTCACCTCAGGATTTCCCCCCGTTATTATGTATGTACACTCTACAGTACCTATATGTACTGTGTTGTTCTCTGTATGACTGAAGTTCCTTGTTGATGAAACATTAATTAAATGACACAACCTGCATACTGTGCTTTATTTACATACTCTAGGTATAGTCTACCATGTTATCATTACTTCAGTTTCTTGGATAAAGAGCCCTTCAACATCAAGGTACCCTTCCTTGAAGAGTCTGCAGTTCAGAACCTTGGTCTCCTGCAGGTGGCTGGCATTCTCTATACAGTATTCTGGTACTATCTCAGATCTTACAAGATCACTGGCAGCATCACCAGTCCCCAGGAATATGAATTTCAGGCAATTATAAATGTGTAGTTACCTCACACTGTGGAAATATCACTGGATAAAAGTAAGGGGTGGAAAAGAAATTAATTAAAAGTCTTCATTCATTTTATATGTACATAAATTTAACATTAGTTCTTAAGGTGATAAGAAAACACTGGCAGAATGGAAACCTTTAATGAGACATTTCATAGTGAAACCAAACTGTTTCAAGTTTATGAAGAGTACAGGGCAAGGATAGTTGTATATAGTCAGAACAGCAGATGACAGGAGTCAGGTGCAAATCTTATTATATTAGGTCAGGTGAGTGGTGTGTGCTGAGGAACATGCAGGCCAAGAGGTCCCTTGACTGGAAACTAACCTAGTTCTGGGAAATGGTTTCTGGTATGAATGCTGATTCAAGGCATTTTTTTCTGCCTTTTCGTAGATAACCATGCTCACCCTGAGCCACTCCACATAGTGTAACAGAAGTACTTATCTTATTCTTACAACTATAATCACTAGCTGTCACCCACATGTATACTTTATTATAACTACTATGAGGGATGACGATGGTGCACTCTCCTTGGGGCTGCCGCTAACTCTCTTAGGCCTTGTAATATCTTTGACAACAGCTGAAGTGACAGTGGCAGTTATGTAACTGCCTTTATTTAAAGAACCTATGATAGTAGGGAAGATTAAAACCCAGACCGACTCTCTGAATGCTAAGTATTTTCCGTGCTTTACTTCTACAATCCAGAAGATAGTAGGACAATGTAAACTGCCTAAGAATAAGGTAGTTGTGAGGGGCTTGCTATTCAAGAACTCCAAGCTGAGGATTCTGAGAGCCCTTAGAAACCCAGCAGAATACATCAAAAACTTTGTCATGGAGGATGGCAATAGCCTGATCCATCAAGATTAACGAGTTTCTTGTCCAGTGTGTGTCTGATCACCAAAGTGCCAGAGTGTACTACTGATAGTGCCAAGCAAAATGGAAAGGGATTTTGCCAGAGCCCTGGCTATACTTGAGGTTATGGGAATGAAGAGTACCTCAGACTTGTGGGTTCTAGAAGACCATACATACTTGATCATCTCAGGGTGGTAAAAGATATGGAGGCTCCCCATCCTGTTATGAACAGGGTCCCCAATAAGCACTGTCCTCGTGAATTTCCATATGGAGTTCCTCGAGGAGACGAGTCCATGATATTCCTGCTGGAGTATCTTGGATGATGTTTGTTGATGACATCCTCATCAATTCAGCTCACTTTAGAAGTGGAAAACAAAACTTATCCTCAATGTCCTTGTACACAAGAACACTACTTGCCACTCCCTTGAATTTAGTACACATCATAAACCCACCAACCAAAACTGTTTCATTCCTTTTTGGTCTCAACTCTACTAGAACCAAGAAAGGTGTTCTGTTGAGTGTCTTTCTAAGGGTTCTCCTATTTCCTGGAAGACAAGTGTCTCAAAATCACCGAGATCATCAGCAGTGTACATTTTCCTACCACTTTCATGTGGAATTGTAGAAGCACAGTTAAAATAACACTTCGAGAGTTGATTCTAGCAATGACCGCTTTTCAATCTTCCCTAGTTCAACTGTACCCAGGAATGCTTCTAAGATATTTAAAAATGTCACGGCATCACAGCCACTGTCACCTTGACCACTATCAGAGACTAGGCCTAAGTAAATCCCAACCCCATGGAGACTACAGGCATATACACTATCCCCTACAGAGGTTGTAATAAGGTACTGTACATGTGCATAAGATAGCTAGGAATCTGTTACCCTTTATGGTGAGAAACGGCATTATTAAAAAACATACAAACGCAAATATGCTTGTTGCAGCAGTAACATCAACAATGCCTGTGTTTTACATTCTAACACAGCTTCACACTACATGGAATTGCCCCAGGCCAAGCATGATTGTGCATAAAGACAAAGAACAGAAGAAAATGACTTGAATCAGCACTGTATATACCACAGACACCATCGCCCACAACCAGGAAAGTTTCCAGTTGGCAGGACCCCTGGTTCGAATGTTCCTCAGCACACACCACTCACCTGACCTGATATAGTCAAGTTAGCACCTAATGACTCCTTGGCCCTTGCTCTCCCGACTATATATACTTATGCTTACCATGTACTCTCTCTAAACTTGAAAAAGTTTGGTCTCTGTGCAAGACACCTCATTAAAGGTTTCCAGTCTGCCAGAGTGTCTTTTCTTCAGCTTGTCGACTGTACAACCTCCTCTTTGTTAGTTTTCAACTTGTGCTGCATCCTCTTTCTCTTGCACTTTCTGAGCTGCTGCTGCTCTTCGATTACGCCAGGCTAACAAATACACTCGAGGGTGGATTGGCAGTAATCCTGCTAGACCTGTGGAGGAATACACACTGTAGTTGTTGCCAAAACTCCTATTAAAAATATGTATATTTCTTATGAGAATTTGCTTATATGTGACCTCACTGCTGTGAATAATTCACTACATGCAGTATAAATCACTCGTATGTGATCACCCAAACCCAGCACTATTTTATAATTAGCAATATAGCAAATATTATGCTAAACAGGTGTCTCGATATAAAGCACTGAAGTAGGCCTACTGGTCAGTATTAGGCAATCCTACTCTTCCTTTCCATTTCTACTCTAAACCAACAGGTTTATAGCTTCCCATGACAAGCCACTGACAAGCATCTCTATTGCTAAAATATTGCTTTCCTAAATAAGAACAAAGGGGCACTGCAGTAGGCTTATTGGCCCATCTTATATAGGGCCTAGTTTTTCCCAACCATTACCAGTTGTTTTTTGACAAAATTCTCAAATCAAGCAATGCAAAATGTTCATGTCTTTGAACATATCTCTGTGTTTTATGTGTTAAGTTGGGTTCACCTGATGAAATTTCATGTACCAAAGAGCCTGGAATCTCCTGATCTCTGGCATGAAACCAGAGACACCTGTACGTATATCTTTATCTAGTATTCTGTTAAGTGCTAAGCCTGTAGGTGTCATACAGTGCCTGGGTATGGGAAAGGAATTAGGTTTGCTCCAAGGAAAGGGAGAAGTTCAATACACCAGATTATGAGCCCCTATCCACAGTGAAGGTACCATCAGAAGCAGTATTTAACTCATCACAACCTCCAAGAGGGTAACCTTAACACCCGTAAAAGGATATGTTACTAGGCTTGCAAATTCCACATTTCTTAACTTGTGATCCAAGGAACTGGAGCTGTTCTCCCTTCCTTGAATCAAACCTGACTCCTTTTTTGCATTTCTTTGTGTTTGACCCAAGTGTTAGCCTCCCTGGGATGTTTTTATCTCTATTTATGCCTCAAGGGAGATTCCTTGATGCTGGTGAGGGACTCCTGATCTAGGGAACTGGATCTGTGCTCCAGTTCCCTGAATACCTTCCATCCCTCCCCCCAAAGGTGCTGTATAATTCCTATGGGTTTAGCACTCCCCCCTGATTACCCCAAAGGCGCTGTATAATCCCTTCAGGTTAGCGCTCCCCCTGATTATAATAATACCTTTATTTAGAATTATTATTGTTTTATTTATGAAAAAGCACTAAATCCTATTGAAGAGCATGTCAAAAATGAATGCAAGATAGGATAACATTGGCAGAGGACCATCTTATATAATGACTGTGTTCTCTAAAATAACAGGAAAACAGAGTCAAGTGTCAGCAAGACTTTACAATTTTCTCACATTCGTTAATCCTGCTTGGTGGGGGATGTGGGGAGAGGGAGAGCCAGGAGCTACACCAAAGTTTCCTCTCCAAATTATTAATTAGTTTTAATGCAATATGAAGCTTTGCACTAAGACAAGGAAAAGTATTTCAATTTGAATTCGACATGCATTTTCTTGACCTACAACAAAAAAATAACAAGAAAATGTGTTAACAGGTCCATGCCTATATAATATTCTTAAAAGCTAAAACTAAAAAGCTTAATAATAAAATAAATATCTCAAGAAGATCAAAAAATCTGAAATAAAGTAGTATTAGTTGTGATATTTTGAAAGATCTCTGACCATGCGAGTCACTCAATATTCATAGAAAAAATGTAAATACAACATACTTGAACACTAAAAACATAAAATTAAACAACAAAAGCTACAAAAATAGTCTCAACACAAATACAGTACTTTCAAGTTAAAATATTTTTTTTTTTATTATCACACTGGCCGATTCCCACCAAGGCAGGGTGGCCCGAAAAAGAAAAACTTTCACCATCATTCACTCCATCACTGTCTTGCCAGAAGGGTGCTTTACACTACAGTTTTTAAACTGCAACATTAACACCCCTCCTTCAGAGTGCAGGCACTGTACTTCCCATCTCCAGGACTCAAGTCCGGCCTGCCGGTTTCCCTGAACCCCTTCATAAATGTTACTTTGCTCACACTCCAACAGCACGTCAAGTATTAAAAACCATTTGTCTCCATTCACTCCTATCAAACACGCTCACGCATGCCTGCTGGAAGTCCAAGCCCCTTGCACACAAAACCTCCTTTACCCCCTCCCTCCAACCCTTCTTAGGCCGACCCCTACCCCGCCTTACTTCCACTACAGATTTATACACTCTTGAAGTCATTCTGTTTTGTTCCATTCTCTCTACATGTCCAAAATAACCAGCATTAATTTAAAAACCCCTTTAAATTATTAAAGTCAAAGACTCGTCTAAAAGCTCTCCAAGATCCCTACTTGCACCCCAGTAATTATGAAAAACCATGACAAAGTTGGAAAGGTCTGTCATGAGCAGTTGTATGACCCTGGTGGGTTTAGTACTTAGTTTTGATGATAATAATACTAAGTTATGAGCAACCTGCTAATGTGTAAACAATAAAAAGTCACAATACCATGACTGGAACAGTACACACATAACTCGCACACAGGAGAAAGAAACTTATGACGAAGTCTTGGTTTGACTCAGACCATTATCTTGTCCTATATACTGGTTATTTGTGTATTATTAGAATGTGTATCAGTCAGTGGCATATCACAAGCTACACAAAGGTGGGAAGCAGCAGCACCTGCAAGCAGGTGACTATAGGTAAGATGTGTGTGCCCAATTTGGAGATAAAGGCCAAATTGTACAGTTTCATAAAGAAAATTTAAGTTTCATTAACATGTATTTCATACCTAGAAGCATTGAACAGCCCTCAGATATAAGAGCTCCTTTACTGATCCAGTAAGTTGTTCGCTCTAGGTTAATGGAACATAACTTCTCCCCATGAGCATTGACCAGAGGGTCCCAAGTCCCAAGCTGCTCAATCACATGACCCTGTCTAGGACTCTTTTTCTGAAAAAAAAAAAAAAAGAATATTTTACCTAAAAATCGATAAATGGCCATTTTTTCTCTGGAAAGGGTGAGAATATATTAATGAATGCTTAAAAAATATACAGTGAGTGATATGGTGTTATAATTTTACTGATTTCTCAACATCAAGGTCATTGTTGTCAGTTTTTAATAAATATAAAAAAATTTACTGAAAATTGGCAATGAAGAAAAACTGGAATGTGGGTGACAGTCTTGAAAACAATGAAAAAAATTCAAAAAGGCGTGACTGTCTTGATAAGAATGGAAAAAGGATCTGGAGTAATGATAAATAACATATGACCAAAAGTTCAAATAAATATATTACCACAGAGAGAATCTCATTTGCAAGCAAACTTCAGCATTATTTTCAAATAATGCAGTGGATGGAAAAATTAAAATTACTAGATATTACATCAAAATTGGAATATGCAGTAGTAATATCTTGTCTGCACAAAAATAGCTGAATAAATTGGAACTGTCCAAATTATAATAACAGGAAAGTGCTAAACCCATTAGTGTCTTATAGTGGCTGAGGAATGGAGGGTGATGAAGCAGGTTAAGTTCCCAGTTACTGCTGTACAGGACAGCCTTACTTATACAGCAGGTTAGGTTCCAGGTTACTGCTGTACAGGAGGGCCTCACTTATACAGCAGGTTAGGTTCCAGGTTACTGCTGTACAGGAGGGCCTCACTTATACAGCAGGTTAGGTTCCAGGTTACTGCTGTACAGGAGAGCCCTACTTATACAGCAGGTTAGGTTCCAGGTTACTGCTGTACAGGCAAGCCTTATACAGCAGGTTAGGTTCCAGGTTACTGTTGTACAGGAGAACCTTATACAGCAGGTTAGATTCTGGGTTACTGCTGTACAGGAGGGCCCTACTAATACAGCAGGTTAAGTTCCAGGCTACTGCTGAACAGGAGGGCCTCACTTATACAGCAGGCTAGGTTCCAGGTTACTGCTGTACAGGAGGGCCCTACTAATACAGCAGGTTAAGTTCCAGGCTACTGCTGAACAGGAGGGCCTCACTTATACAGCAGGCTAGGTTCCAGGTTACTGCTGTACAGGAGGGCCCCACTTATACAGCAGGTTAGGTTCTAGGTTACTGCTGTAAAAGAAAAATCACTGTAAAGTGAAACATAGCCTTTTTCACTTTCAAATGTATATAAAAGCCTGATAACATGTTTATACTATCACATATTAAGTGAACAATAGAGCTAGACCTAAAAAATGCATATACGTACAGTACACACGTTACTTACCTTAAAATATTTTCGTCCTTAGCTTATAGTAAGTGGTGAATATATTTATTGTAGGTGTCTGAATAAATGAAGAATGGTTATAATTGACAACTCCTGTATTAGTGAAACACCATCAAGCAAAGCCCTGTAAAACAGGGCTTGCCTGCATGAAACTAACATAATATAATTATAAGGTTCTGGTTCTTACATCCATAACAACAATGTGGTAAAACGGTCTGTTTGCACATCCATGCCTGGCAAATCTTATACATTTGGCCGTCCTCAAAGGTACTCTGGCGCCTCCTGCTGCAGGGAAAGGCATCCTTCACTTGCCTGAAAAGAAAGAAAAAATATTAATAGAGTGGAGACAAATGGTTTTTGAGACTTGATGAGCTGTTAAGAGTGTGAGCAGGGTAATATTTTGTGAAGGAATTCAGTGAAACCGGTTAGCCAGACTTTGAGTCTTGGAGGTGGGAAGTACAATGACTGCACTCTGAAGAAGGAGTTTGGGATATTTGCTGTTTAGAGGGACATCTAAACTGTTGTATCTGTGCACCTCTAGCAACATATCAATAGAGTGAATGATGGTGAAAGTGTTCCTTTTATGGGTCACCCCTACCTCGGTGGGAGACGGCCAATGTATTAAAAAATATATGTAAATCGTCAAGACAATTCTTGTAATATGAGATGTGGATTATATTTTCACCGTGTTTTCATTTTGAACCAGCTGCCACCTGTAGCATAGTATTTATAAGTGTATATCTTTTATGGTTTGAGTCAGTTCACTTTAGACAAGTTACATGCAACAAACCCTAGGGCTCTTGATCCAAGGAACTGGTGCTGCCCTCCCCTTCATCAGATCAAACCTAATTACCCTCCCATTCCCCAATTGTTGTATGACCATTATTGGTTTAGCAATTTGCCACATTTAATACAATAATAATATACGTACATATTATTATGCACACAGGTAATGACTAGTCTGTTGACCTGGTCGTAATAGGTTTGGAACAAAAATAAACACAGCACTCTTTGCATGCCACACACATACATGACTTAATGTAAGGGAAACCGCTGTATGAACAATCATCCTGTATGACGCTCTCTTAGGTAAATATTGTTACAGTGTAGTAAAACAATGATAATAATAATAATAATACAGTGGACCCCAGACCTACGATATTAATCTGTTCCTGAGAGCCCATCGTAAGATGAAATAATTGTAGGTTGAATTAATTTTCCCCATAAGAAATAATGGAAATCAAATTAATCCATTCCAGACACCCCAAGTATGAAAAAAAATATGTTTACCACATAAAATATACTTTTTTCTACACACAAAAAAGGAGACATGCATAATATATATTACGTATTGTTTAATGAAGAATAAATGACACTTACCTTTATTGAAGATCTGTTGAAGAGTGATGGGATGGCAGAAGGGGAGATGATGGAGGCTATTATTTTTTGGAAGGGAAATCCCCTTCCATTAGGACTTTAGGTAGCACGTCCTTTTCTGGGGTTACTTCCCTTCTTCTTTTAATGCCACTGGCAACAACTTGAGAGTCATTGGACCTCTGTCGCACCAAAAATCTGTCCATGGAGCTCTGTACCTCTCGTTCCTTTAAGATTTTTCTAAAGTGGTTCACAACATTGTCATTGTAAAAGTCACCAGCATGGCTTGCAATAGCTGTGTCAGGGTGATTTTCTTCCATAAAGGTTTGCAGTTCAACCCACTTTGCACACATTTCCTTAATCTTTGAAGAAGGCAACTGCACATATTTTTCAGCCGCTTTTTGGTCCGAACTGGCAGCCTCACCATGCCTTATCACACTATGTATACCACTACGATTCTTAAATCTCTCAAACCAACCTTTGCTGGCCTTAAATTCACTCACATCACCACTAGTTGCAGGCATTTTCTTAATTAAATTGTTATGCAACTTACCATTGCTATCCAAAATCTTTGAGAAACTCGTGCACAGGAGACTATATTAATTTATAACGGCACAAAACATACTCAACCCCTGCCAATTTGGATTTAGGAAAAATAAAAGCACTAATGATGCAATTATAAAAATGCTAGATCTGCTTTACACAGCATTGGAAAATAAGGAATATCCGCTAGGAATTTTTATTGACCTAAGAAAAGCTTTTGACACAGTAGACCACGGCATCCTACTCCACAAACTTGACCATTATGGTATAAGAGGCCATGCGCTTGCATATTTCAAATCCTACCATATTAATAGGTATCAGTATGTCACCATTAAAGACACAGCATCATCAACATGGCCACTTAATACTACTGGAGTTCCGCAGGGAAGTGTCCTTGGTCCCCTGCTCTTCCTCATATACATCAATGATCTTCCAAACGTATCCCAACACCTGAACTCCATTCTCTTTGCTGACGACACGACTTATGTCATCTCTCACCCTAATTTTGCCACCCTCAACACCATTGTTAACGAGGAGCTGCTCAAAATATTGACTTGGATGACAGCCAACTTACGCTTAACACTGACAAAACCTACTATATTATGTTTGGTAGCAGAGCAGGAGTTGCACAAATTAACATTAAGATCAACAACACTAATTGCCAGACATAATGAGGGCAAATTCTTAGGCCTATACCTCGACAACAACATGAATTTCAGCACCCATATAAAACACATAACCAAAAAAGTATCCAAAACGGTGGGGATCCTCTCCAAGATATGATACTACATGCCGCAAAATGCCCTTCTCACACTATACCACTCACTTATTTATCCATATCTCACCTATGCTATTTGTGCTTGGGGATCAACTGCAGCAACTCACCTAAAGCCAATAATAACCCAACAAAAAGCCGCAGTAAGAATAATCATTAAATCCCATCCCTGGCAACACACCCCCCCACTCTTCATAGATCTAAACTTACTCCCTGTTCAGTACATCCACACTTACTACTGTGCAATCTACATCTACAGGACCTTAAACTCCAATATTAACCTTGACCTAAAATGCTTTCTTGATATTTGTGACAGAACCCACAGGCATAACACCAGACACAAACATCTCTATGACATTCCCCATGTCTGACTAAACCTTTAGAAAAATTCAATGTATATCAAAGGCCTTAAAATCTGGAACACCCTACCTGAGAACTCTAGAACTGCAGACACATTCATCACCTTCAAAACTACCATTAGAAAACATCTTATCTCCCTGATACACCCCATCAACTAATTACATGAATACCACCTGGTGGTTCACACTTACACTCACCCATTTGACCATAAACACAGAAATATCAATCTTAATCTTAAAATAATGAATCCTAACTAGTCATAAGTTGGCCTGTGATACTCCAATACTGAAACTATGTATTGTGCGAAAACAAAAGCATTCACATTGCTAAACTCACAAACTAGTATTTAGTCACTTAGCCATAATACCAATTTACCTCATAATTTGTAATATTTTAAAGTTAAGAATTAATCTAAGTCTGCCCGAAATGCCTAGCCATGCTAGGTGTTCTAGTGGTACACTCTGTAATTACTATTTTAAAACATGTAAACCACACAATATCCAAATTCTGTAAACTCAGCATTGTAATCCTTATAGAGAATAAACTTGACTTGATTTTATTTGAACTGCCTTACCTTTTCACATATGATCGCTTGAGAGATGCTATCTCCTGATATCTGTTTTTCGTATATCCACACCAATAAGTCTCTCAATATCTTCGAGCACTTGCGATCTGTGTTTTGTAAAGATACTTGCATCTTTTGCAACAACAGCTTCCTTGATTGCCTATTTGTTGGCCAGGATAGTAGAGATGGTTGATTGGGGTTTGTTGTACAACCTGGCCAGCTCAGAGGCACACACTCCATTTTCGTATTTATTTACTATCTCCTCCTTCATTTCAATAGTAATTTTCACCCTTTTTAACAAAGGGTTGGCACTAGAAGCTTTCTTTAGACCCATGGTGGCTTATTTAGCAGTTAGAAGCACTAAAAACACTGGAATAATACAAAATGTTCCGAATGTATGCATGGAAGCGACCGCTCTGGCTTGTAAACACTGGCACACTAACTGAAGGCAGGCCATCTGAGGCGCGCTCAGGGCGGACAGACACGTGGACTCTTACTGGATGAATGCTGTACGTTGAGTTTTTCAACGTATGTCGGGGTCAAATTTTTGCACTGAAAAGCTTCATAGGTCGGTTTTAACGTAGGTTGGGGACATCATAAGTCGGGGGTCCACTGGTGGCTAACGCTCTCGCTTCACACGGCGAGGGCCTGGGTTCGATTCCCAGCCAGAGTAGAAACATTGGTCGTGTTACTTTCCACCTGTTGTCTGTGTTCCCCATCAGTAAAATGGGTACCTAGGTGTTAGTGGACTGGTGTGGGTCGCATCCTGGGACACTGACCTAATTTGCCCGAAATGCTGAGCATAACAAGGGACTTTCTATATAGTAGTATGTCATTGTTGTCAGCTATGGTCTGTATACCTTGTACATGTACTGGTAGTAAATAAAGATATTATGTATTATTATTATATTATTATTATTACAGTCAAAACTAAGCACTAAACCCACAAGGGTCAATAATAATAAAACAATGATAATGTATATTCATGGAGAGTGTTAAACGCATAGAGAATAATAATAGCACTAATAGTATAATATTAATACCAATTATATCACTCTAATAATAATAATAATAATAATAATAGCAACACTAGTATAATAGTAATAATGATTAATAACAACATAACGCAGTTAAATTCAACATCACGACTTATTTCCACCGAGGTCGTTTTAGCTTCATTATTACATTGGCTTTCATATATACGGTCTTATCCTTTATTCTTAATAATAATAATCGTTAATTAAAAACATTGAGCTGTGTGACCCCAGTCTTGTGCTGCCGCTCACAAGATGGTTTTCAACTTTTATTTGGGGAAGTCCTAAATATTAATAAGCGCCTAAAGTCGGTACCTGACCAGCCGGGCTGTGGCTCGTACATTGGATTGCATGCAGCCAGCAGTAACAGCCTGGTTGATCAGGCTCTGATCCACCAGGAGGCCTGGTCACAGACCGGGTCGCGGGGGCGTTGACCCCCGGAACTCTCTCCAGGTAAACTCCGTATGGGTCATCTCACCTTCCAAGGAAGGTGAGACAAGGTCCATTATCATTTTAATCAAAATGAAGCACTAAACCTACAAGAGTCATACAGCAAGGGTCTGGGTCCAGATCCTTGGATCAGGAGCTCCCTCATTAGCACCCAATCATATTACACGCACAAGAAGCGCTAAACCTGTATGGTTCACCCAGCACCTGGCTAAATGGGAGGAATGATCAAGTTTGATCCAAGGAAGTGGAGAGTAGCCTCAGTTCCCTGGATCAAGAGCCCCTCGTGCCATCCTGTCATATTACTCAAAGATGGAAGCTCTAAACCCGTAAGGATTCACACAACCCATATTTGAATGGGAGGTACGATCAAGTTTGATCCAAGGAGGTGAAGGGTACCCTCAGTTCCCTGGATCAAGAGCCCTTTACCAATATTAAACTTACATATTAAACTTACTTCATTCAGTTTGGTAACAGAGCTACAGATGTACCTCTTAACATAATAATAAACAGATCACCTATCACAAAGCTAACAGAGGGAAAATTCTTAGGAATCCACCTTGATAATAGACTCAAATTTCATACACATATACATCAAATTTCTAGGAAAATTTCCAAGACTGTAGGCATACTATCGAAGATACGGTACTATGCTCCACAGTCAGCCCTCCTGGCCCTATATCACTCTCTTATTTACCCCTATCTCACCTATGGATTTGTGCATGGGGCTCAACAAAAAAAGTAACCATCTCAGACCACTAATTACCCAACAAAAGGCTGCAGTTAGAATGATAACAAATTCTCACTACAGGCAGCACACTCCACCAATATTCAAAACACTCAACCTACTCACCATACAAAACATCCATACTTATTACTGCACTTATTACTACATGAAACACTTAACTCTGATATTAACCCTCCCCTCAAACATCTCCTTGCCAACCTCAACAGAAACATGACCATAACACAAGACACAGAATCACTCTTTGATGTTCCTCGTGTCCATCTCACACTATGCAAAAACTCAATGCACATAAAAGGCCTAAAACTGGAAAATTTATTACCCGTAAATATAAAAGAAACACTACCTGTTTATAAATTCAAGTCTCTTCTCAAAGATCACTTACTCACCCAAAACCAAATAAATACTGAAAACTCAACCTTATAAATTGTATATCTTAAATGTTTCTCACAATTATATCACACAAATGTTAAACCTAAAACCCCAAACTAACTTTGTTATTTTTTAAATACACTACCTAACAGAATACTCCATACGACTGACCTCTCAAGGAAGGTTCCTTGATGTTGGTGAGGGGCTCTTGATTTAGGGAATTGGATCTGTGCTCCAGTTCCCAGAATTAAGCCTGAATGCCTTCCACACCCCCCAGGCGCTGTATAATCCTCCGGGTTTAGCGCTTCCCCCCTTGATTATAATAATAATACTCCATTCTACTGAATGTACAACAATGCATACAACCATATGACCTGTCTTTGTAATACTCACTTGTGCTTTATAGTTATCTGTTTACAATAATGTTTTATCACTGATTACATCATTGCTTAGTTAATCTTAAGTTAATTTTAAGCCAGCCCATAATGCTATGCATATAAGTGGCTTTGGCATGCTGCTCTCTCTTACCTCTGTAGAAGCGTCAGCGTCTCCTTGTTGATGGTTTATAGAGCCACTGAGGAGGTGCACCGTACCCCCCCCCCGGGGGGAGTTAACACAAAATATTCAAATTCAAATTCAAAGTTTATTCTCTATAAGGATTACAATGCTGAGTTTACAGAAATTTGGTTATTGTTTGGTTTACATGTAGTAAAATTGTGATTACAGAGTGTACCACTAGGTACACTTAGGTATACTTAGTTTTATTCTTAATTGTAAAATATTACAAATTATGAGGTAAGTTGGTATTATGGCTAAGTGACTAAATACTAGTTTATGAGTTTAGCAATGTGAATGCTTTTGTTTTGGCACAGTATATAGTTTCAGTATTGGAGTATCACAGGATTCATTATTTTAAGACTGAGATTAATATTTCTGTTTATGGTCAAATGAGTGAGCGAGTGTAAGTTGTGAACCACAGGTGGTATTCGTGTAGTTAGTTGACGGGGTGTATCAGGGAGATAAGATGTTTTCTAATGGTAGTTTTGAAGGTGATGAATGTGTCTGCAGTTCTAGAGTTCTCAGGTAGGGTTATTCCAGATTTTAGGGCCTTTGACATACATTGAATTTTTGTAAAGGTTTAGTCGGACACGGGGAATGTCGTAGAAATGTTTGTGTCTGGTGTTATGCCTGTGGGTTCTGTCACAACTATCAAGAAAGCGTTTTAGGTCAAGGTTGATATTAGAGTTTAAGGCCCTGTGGATATAGATTGCCCCAGTAGTAAGTGTGGATGTACTGAACTGGGAGTAAGTTTAGATCTTTGAAGAGTGGGGGGGTGTGCTGCCAGGGATGGGATTTAGTGATTATTCTTACTGCAGCTTTTTGTTGGGTTATTATTGGCTTTAGGTGTGTTGCTGCAGTTGATCCCCAAGCACAAATGGCATAGGTGAGGTATGGATAAAAAGTGAGTGGTATAGTGTGAGAAGGGCATTTTGCGCACGTAGTATCGTATCTTGGAGAGGATCCCAACCGTTTTGGATACTTTTTTGGCTATATGCTGGATATGGGTGCTGAAATTCAGGTTGTTGTCAAGGTATAAGCCTAGGAATTTTCCCCCATTATTTCTGGTAATTAGAGTGTTGTCAATCTTAATGTTAATTTGTGCATCTCCTGCACTGCTACCAAACATAATATAGTAGGTTTTGTCAGTGTTAAGCGTAAGTTTATTGGCTGTTATCCAAGTCGATATTTTAATCAGCTCCTCATTCACAATGGTGTTGAGGGTGGCAAGATTAGGGTGAGAGATGACATAAGTCGTGTCATCAGCAAAGAGAATGGGTTTCAGGTGTTGGGATACGTTTGGAAGGTCATTGATGTATATGAGGAAGAGCAGGGGACAAGGACACTTCCCTGCGGAACTCCAGTATCAAGTGGCCGTGTTGCTGATGCTGTGTCTTTAATGGTGACGTACTGATACCTATTAGGTTATTCATAAGAACGAAGGAACACTGCAGAAGGCCTACTGGCCCATGCGAGGCAGGTCCAAGTCTCCTACCGGCTTAAGCCAATGCACCCAACCTAGTCAGGTCAGGTCACATTGACTTAAGGGAGGAAACCGGCAAACCGACCTGTTAGCACAAGCTATCAGGGTCTAACTCACACCCACCCACATCTACTCATGTATTTATCCAACCTATTTTTAAAGCTACACAACGTTCTGGCCTCTATAACGGTACTTGGGAGTTTGTTCCACTCATCCACAACTCTATTACCAAACCAGTACTTTCCTATATCCCTCCTGAATCTGAATTTTTCCAACTTAAAACCATTGCTGCGAGTCCTGTCTAGGCTAGATATTTTCAGCACACTATTTACATCCCCTTTATTTATTCCTGTCTTCCACTTATACACCTCAATCATATCCCCCTAATTCTACGTCTTTCTAGAGAGTGCAGTTTCAGGGCCCTTAGTCTATCCTCATAGGGAAGGTTTCTGATACATGGGATCATCTTTGTCATCCTCCTTTGTACATTTTCCAGAGAATTTATATCCATTCTGTAATACGGTGACCAAAACTGTGCAGCATAATCTAAATGAGGCCTAACCAAGGATGTATAGAGTTGAAGAACAACCTGAGGAAACTCCTATTTTTTATGCTTCTTGATATGAAGCCAAGGATTCTATTAGCTTTATTGCGAACACTTATGCACTGTTGTCTTGGTTTCAGATTACTGCTAACCAGAACTCCTAAATCTTTTTCGCAATCCGTAATATTAAGATCTACATTATTTAGTTTATATGTGCATGGTTATTGTCCTGTCCAACATTTAAAAACTTTGCATTTGTCTATATTAAACTGCATCTGCCACTTCTCCGACCACTGCATCAGTCTATTCAAATCTTCCTGGAGTGCTCGAATGTCCTCGTCAGAATGAATTCGACGGCCTATTTTGGTGTCATCGGCAAACTTGCCGATGTCGCTCTTTATGCCCTCAATCTATGTCTTTTTATGTAGATTGTGAACAGTAGGGGGCCCAACACTGACCCCTGTGGAACACCGCTCGTGACGCTTCCCCACTCTGATTTCTCCCCATTTATGCAAACTCTCTGCTGCCTATTTGTCAACCATGCCTCTATCCAGGAAAAATTTTTCCTCCTATTCCATGTGCTTTAATTTTCCTCAATAGTCTCTGATGTGGGACCCTGTCAAAAGCCTTACTGAAGTCCATATACACAATATCATATTCATTACCATGATCTACCTCCTCAAATACCTTAGTGAAAAAAAGTTCATAAATTCGTAAGGCAGGAACGCCCCTTTGTAAAACCATGCTGAGATTCGTTGATTAATTTATGCTTTTCAAGGTGGCTACGAACTGCCTCGGCAATTATTGATTCCATAAATTTTCTCACTATGGAGGGAAAATTTATGGAATCAATAATTGCCGAGGCAGTAATGTAAGATTTGAAATAAGCAAGCGCATGGCCTCTTATACCGTAGTGGTCAAGTTTGTGGAGTAGGATTTGGTGGTTTACTGTGTCAAAAGCTTTTCTTAGGTCAATAAAAATTCCTAGTGGATATTCCTTATTTTCCAATGCTGTGTAAAGCAGATCTAGCATTTTTATGATTGCATCATTAGTGCTTTGTTTTTCCTGAATCCAAACTGGCAGGGGTTGAGTATGTTTTGAGCCGTTATAAAATGAATACAGTCTCTTGTACACGAGTTTCTCAAAGATTTTGGATAGCAATGGTAAGTTAGATATTGGCCTATAGTTGTTTAAGTCTGTAGGGTCACCACCTTTATGTATTGGTGTAACCCTTGCATCTTGAGTAGTTTCGGGAAGGTGCTAGTCTCTATTGACTTGTTAAAAAGTAATGAAATAGCATGCGAAAGGACATGGGCCGCTCGCTTGTACAGTAATGGTGGGACATGAGACAGATTCCCGAGTTATTTTTTAAGTGACTTTATGATCCCAATGACTTCCGTGGGTCAGTTGGTGCAAGATAGAAGGAATTAGGGAAATTACCATCTAGGTAGTCCCCGGCATGGGCATTGGTATGTGGGATTTTACTGGCGAGATTAGATCCTATGTTTGAGAAGAAGTCGTTTATCTTGTTAGCTGTGTCAGTGGGATGTAGTGGTGTTTCATTTAGGTTTAGTTAGGACAATATTCTTGGTTTTTCTCAGTTTGTGGGTCCCTAGAATCTGAGAGAGTGTTTTTCCAGGTCTTTTTTATATCTCCTCTAGTGTCTGTGAATCTAATGGAGTAGTATAGTTGTTTGGCTTTCTTTATTACTTTGGTGAGAGCTGATGAATAGTGTTTAAGAGTATCTTTGTGTATTAAGCCCTGTCTATATTGCTTTTCATATTGGTGTTTCTTGTCTATGGATTTCAGAATGGTGCTGGTTAGCCATGGGCAACCAAGCCGTTTGTTTGTGATCTGTTTTGTTTTTATAGGACAATGTTTGTTGTATAGTCTAAGTAATTTGTTAAGAAAGATGTCTGTCCAGTCATCAATACCATTGGCCTTGGAGAATTCTGTAGGCCAATCAACAGTCTCTAGGTCAGCTGTGAACTTCCTTACTGAGGCCTCGTCATGGAGTCTAAATGAGACTTTTATGGATCAATTCCCCTCAAGGAAGGTTCCTTGATGTTGGTGAGGGGCTCTTGATTTAGGGAATTGGATCTGTGCTCCAGTTCCCCGTATTAAGCCTGAATGCCTTCCACATCCCCCCCCTAGGCGCTGTACAATCCTCCGGGTTTAGCGCTTCCCCTTGATTATAATAATAATATTATGGATCACTTATAGATATCTTACATGGTAACATACGTGTAAATTACCCAGGATAACCAAAAAAGTCAGAGTGATTTAGTTTCAAGAAGGTCTACCATTCCCTACCTGGTGTCCAGGTAATATAGGACCACTGACACGGAGCGCCGTATCTATTACCAGAATTAAGGCACAATTACACAACTTATGGATAAATTACAATATCTTACATAGTAATATATGTGTAAATTACTTATAACACCCAAAAAGTCAAACAGAGTGACTTATTTTCATTAGTGTCCACTGTTTTCAATAGTGTCAAGGCATAATGCCTTGACACTATTGAACCTCCTGCCAGGGAAATTTAGGTACAATTACACAATTTATTGATGAATTACAATTTTCTTACCTCTGTACATGTATTTAGATTACTCAGATAACCTAAAAGAGGTCAGTGGCCTATTTTGACTGGGGTTCACCGTTCCTCTCCTGGTGCCCGGGCAATATAGGGCCACTCACATGGTGCGCCGTATTCAACCTCCTGCCCGACCAACAAATAATAATAATAATAATATAATAATAATAATAATAATAATAATAATATTATTATTATTATTATTATTATTATTATAATAAAAAAGAAGCGCTAAGCCACAAGGGCTATACAGCAATAATAATAATAATAATAATAATAATAATAATAATTACTACTACTACTACTACTACTATAATAATAATAATAATAATAATAATAATAATAATAATAATAATAATAATAGAGGCTCTCCTTGCATTGCAACCCACTATTGTAAATAAATAATCTCAATGTACTGTTTGCAAAGACATAAAATAAATAAATAAATAAAGTACATATACAAGGTATACAGACCATAGCTGACATCAGTGACACACTACTATATAGAAAGCCACTTGTTATGCTGAGCATTTCATGCAAATTACAATAATAATAATATCCCAGGATGCGACCCACACCAGTCATCTAACACCCAGATACCTATTTAATGATAGTGAACATAGACAACCCGTGTAACGAAACACACCCAATGTTGCTACCCTCACTGGGAATTGAACCCGGACCCTCACTGTGTGAAGCGAGAGCTTTGCCACCCGGCCACGGGCCTGGTGGCCCGCGGCTCATTTCCACAAAATACAGTACACATTAGATATAAAATTAGGTGATATGCTTCACAGAATTAGTGGAAAGCCATAGGTTGTATTTCAAGCTTCAAGCTTATTTAATAATAACAATAATAATAATGATAATAATAATAATAATATTATTATTATTATTATTACAATAAGAACTATGTGCTAAACCACTAAATATATTTAATAAAGAAACCATGACATGGTAATACAAGTCTTCAACTGGTCTATGACAAGAAAAGGAACTTCCTCAAAGAAATGCTAAACCTGTATGGATCATACAACACCTACTGAATAGGACACTGTCAAATTAATACAAGGAAAGGGAGGATAGCTCCCATTCCCTGGATTAAGAGCCCTTCACCAGGCATCAAGGCTTGAAGAAGCTCATTGTCTAAAATTTTTTTTTTTAATTAGATGAAAGCAATAAACCCATAGGGGTCAGATATCATGAGATAAGAGTGAGTAGAAGCAAGTAGATTTTAAGAGTTGATGTTCTGTTGGAGTGTGGGCAAGGTACTGTAATATCTATGAGGTGATTAAGGGAAAACCAGTCAGCCTGTTTTGAGTTTTGGAGGTGTCGGTATAGAAATTTCACTTCAGAATCCTGATAAGGATGTTGTGGTTTGGTGAGCTATTAGATTATGATGTGTATACTCGTGTAGAGACAGGCAGTGAATAACACTGTTCTCTGGGACACTGCTAAACTGGCAATAAGTCACTTTCTCTGACTTTTATGGATTATAATCCTAGGTAATATACACACTATGTATGGTGAACCACAGTATGGGTGGGGTTAGAACCCATGGCATGTAAGTTGTAAAACTTCAGGCTACTGCTTAAACCACTGGATGAATCTTATTATAACCAGCTGGCTCAGTGGTTTATGCACTGGCCTGGAGTTTTAAGACTCACTTGCCATGGGTTCTAAGCCCACCCTTATCATGGTTTGTTTGCAATTGTGTTATTATGATTTTGTGAGTTATGTACGATGAAGAATTAGACATGTGCAAGATCTGGGCATCTTTATTGTAGATATTTCACCATTTAGTGGCTTTATCAATACAAGGACATAATGTGAAGACAAGATAATCAGTCCCTCAGGCCTGAGAGGACTGATCACCTTGTCTTTTGTATACAGGTCTAGTCTTCACATTATGCCCTTGTAGTGTATTGATAAAACCACTGGATGTCAAAACATCTAGAAATAAAGATACCCAGATGTTGCACACATGTCTAATTCTTCACTATGTATGATACTTGTACCTATGCATGCCTGTATGTAAATAAACTTACTCATACAGTGGACCCCCGCTTTACGATCACCTCCCAGTGCGACCAATTATGTAAGTGTATTTATGTAAGTGTGTTTGTACGTGTATGTTTGGGGGTCTGAAATGGACTAATCTACTTCACAATATTCCTTATGGGAACAAATTCATTCAGTACTGGCACCTGAACATACTTCTGGAATGAAATAATATCGTAAACCGGGGGTCCACTGTACTGTGATGAAAAATAAAACAATACAGAAATAGATGTTTATTTGTATAAATCATTGTAACAAAGTACAAGTAGCACCACTGAAGCTAATATTTTGGATAGATTTGAAAAAGCATTACACAAATATTTGAAAGGAATGGTTGGATGAGAGTAGATATAGTCTTAGCACTGAATGGTAGGCCTTTACCAGTGGTCATCAATTCTTATGTTCTTAAGTAACACCTTTTAATAAAATAAAGTAATTTAATAATACAATAAAATATAATTTTAATGGTTTTTGTATAGTACTTACAATTTTTGTATATTGGCCATTTTTGTTTAGTCAGTGATTGAATGATAATAAATGTTTCCATTTTCAGGTCACCCTTTCCTGGTGGAAGAAAAGACTGTGATGCCAATTTACTGTTGTTATTATTACTATTATTAATTTTGTCATCTTTTTAACATATTGGCTGTCTCCCACTAAGATATGGTGACCTGAAAAAGAGAAGAAACATTTTCACCATCACTTGCTCCATCATTGTCTTGCCAGAAGAGTGATGATACTACAGTTTAAATGCCGCTCCAAAATGCAAATATCACCACCCTCCTTCTATTATAATTGTTTATTATTATTATTATTATATTACACTATTTAAAAGCAAGAGGTAAACCTCATAAGGGGGATTACCAACAGACTCCTGGCAGTCTTCAAGCTGGCACTGGACAAGCACCTAAAGTCGGTACCTGACCAGCCGGGCTGTGGCTCGTACGTTGGTTTGCGTGCAGCCAGCAGTAACAGCCTGGTTGATCAGGCTCCGATCCACCAGGAGGCCTGGTCACAGACCGGGCCGCAGGGGCGTTGACCCCCGGAACTCTCTCCAGGTAAACTCCAAGTAATATGAGTATGCAGTGCTGCACAGAAATAAAGATCATACACAATAAAAGAAGTCTCTGTGTCTGTCTTTTCATCATTACAAGTCAGAAAGAGAAAGAGTAAGGCTAAAGCCATAAGTACAATATGAGAGAGAACAAGACAAGAAACAGAAAGTCAAAGAAGAAAGAAGTGGAAAAAAAAAGAGAGGAAAAACAGAAATGTGTGTGGGGGGAAAACTGACTGAAAACTGTTATTTAATACAGTGGACCCCCGGTTAACGAACTTTTTTCATTCCAGTAGTATGTTCAGGTGCCAGTACTGACCGAATTTTTTCCCATAAGGAATATTGTGAAGTAGATTAGTCCATTTCAGACCCCCAAACATACATGTACAAACGCACTTACATAATTGGTCGCATTTGGAGGTGTTCGTTAAGCGGGGGTCCACTGTATATTTGAAATCGCTCTAATAAAACTTGAAGCACCAACAACGTGATGCAGGATGCTCTTAGCAGACAGAGGATCGAGACTTCATGACTTCTTGAAATGAATTACCCATGTGGGTTTAGTACTTCACACAAATTAAATAATGAAAAATCTAATGAAACCTGTAAGAACATAAGAAGAGATTTCTGCAGTCAGCCTACTGGTCCATGCTAGGCAGAGCCACAGCAATGAAACATACATGTACAAGGGAAAGAAAGATAGAGACCTTAATGAAGTCTACACCAATTCTATCTGCTTCTATCTACATTCAGGACTGTCATGTGTTATCTAAATGTTTTGGGCAACGATAAAGGAGAAGACTGTTTGAGGTACCAGCAGCTCTTGAAGCTGCTGCTACCCTGACACTACAAACAATCACTGGTGAATTATATCCATCATCTGCTTAAGGTTTGTGACTTTCTCCCGAGGTTTGCCAAGTAAAGTTCCAGCCTCTGTTTCATGCTCGTCCAAGCGAGTCCACTGAGCAAATGAGACAGGTTGTATGCCTGGAGAAAATAACATTAGTGGATCTTGTAAACACTTTTGATAATGTTTAGCCTAAATATAGACTTCTTCTTTCTTTCAACACACCGGCCGTATCCCACCGAGGCGGGGTGGCCCAAAAGGAAAAACAAAAGTTTCTCCTTTTACATTTAGTAATATATACAGGAGAAGAGGTTACTAGCCCCTTGCTCCTGGCATTTTAGTCGCCTCTTACGACACGCATGGCTTACGGAGGAAGAATTCTGTTCCACTTCCCCATGGAGATAAATATAGACATTATATTAATTTAAAAGTTTGGACATTAATGTTTAGAACAAATTTTTAGATGCAAAATAAATTTGAATGTTGAAAGTAAATCCTAGCAAATTAAAACCAATGTCCAGTAATGCTACAAGCATTATTTAGTTATTAATATTTAAGATTAGGATTGTTATTGTAACAAAAGATACCTATCAATGTCTAACAGCTGAGATAATGTCCAGGCCCTCTGATAACCCATTATTTTCCCAATACTGTAGTTACTCTTTTTATAATATGTATTGTATGACATGTTTATTGTGTAAATGTGACACCAAGTGAGACAGTGGAGGTAGTATCTAGTCTTACACTGCCTGTACAATGAGCAGTGGGTGTGACTTAACTCTAGGCAGACTGCTAGGACAGTATCTCAGTTGGTGATTTGTTGCTGGTCAGGGAAAGACATAAGCAGTTGTTCTGTCTTTATTAACAAAGACTCACAAGCAAATACTTTTTCATACAATATTTTTTTCGAGAGTTAGAATTTCTAAGCATTCTTTTGTGTCTGTGGCCAAAGTCCATAGGTATTAAAAATATTGATTTTATAGAGGTACATTTGCAGCAAGCAGACAGTAACTTATTCAGACCCTCATTATTACTGTAATAGGTGGGATGCACAAGGCAACCCAAGATTCTCAAAAAATGGAATGCACTAACCTCTTTCTCTCAAGACATTCTGAATGAGCATCTTTCCAGCTCGAGGTGTGGAAACATCCACCAAGCCAGACTCTATGTCTGCCACAACAAGCTTGCCAGTAGTAAAACCACTTGTCATGGTAGACAATATAACACCAACTGGACCAGTGCCTATCCATCCACTAACATACACACCTGTAGAAGTAGCAGTAGTCTCAATCTAAGTCATTTTAAAACCTGCTGTAACTAGCAAGCTGTAAGTCTCATTTGTCAATTAGGACAGCAAGAACTATTATTACTGCTCAATCATAATACTATACAGTGATAAACCTGTATGGATCATTCAACAAGATAGGTAGCAATGAGACCATGAAAATATAATTTAAATTTGTTCTCATAATGACACAAGCAGCATGATAATTATGGGACAATAATAAAAACTGCATTTTTTTACCAATACAGTATCAGTCCTTATCACTCAGAAAACCCAATTTAGAATTTTTTTTTTTTTTTTTTTTTCAACAAGTCGGCCGTCTCCCACCGAGGCAGGGTGACCCAAAAAAGAAAGAAAATCCCCAAAAAGAAAATACTTTCATCATCATTCAACACTTTCACCACACTCGCACATTATCACTGTTTTTGCAGAGGTGCTCAGAATACAACAGTCTAGAAGCATAAACATATAAAGATACACAACATATCCCTCCAAACTGCCAATATCCCAAACCCCTCCTTTAAAGTGCAGGCATTGTACTTCCCATTTCCAGGACTCAAGTCCGACTATATGAAAATAACCGGTTTCCCTGAATCCCTTCACTAAATATTACCCTGCTCACACTCCAACAGATCGTCAGGTCCCAAGTACCATTCGTCTCCATTCACTCCTATCTAACACGCTCACGCACGCTTGCTGGAAGTCCAAGCCCCTTACCCACAAAACCTCCTTTACCCCCTCTCTCCAACCCTTTCGAGGACGACCCCTACCCCGCCTTCCTTCCCCTATAGATTTATATGCTTTCCATGTCATTCTACTGTGATCCATTCTCTCTAAATGACCAAACCACCTCAACAACCCCTCTTCTGCCCTCTGACTAATACTTTTATTAACTCCACACCTTCTCCTAATTTCCACACTCCGAATTTTCTGCATAATATTTACACCACACATTGCCCTTAAACAGGACATCTCCGCTGCCTCCAACCGTCTCCTCGCTGCTGCATTTACCACCCAAGCTTCACACCCATATAAGAGTGTTGGTACTACTATCCCTTTCATACATTCCCTTCTTTGCCTCCATAGATAACGTTTTTTGAACTCCACATATACCTCAACGCACCACTCACCTTTTTTCCCTCATCAATTCTATGATTAACCTCATCCTTCATAAATCCATCCGCCGACACGTCAACTCCAAGTATCTGAAAACTTTTCACTTCTTCCATACTCCTCCTCCCCAATTTGATATCCAATTTTTCTTTATCTAAATCATTTGACACCCTCATCCACTTACTCTTTTCTATTTCACTTTCAACTTTCTACCTTTACACACATTCCCAAACTCATCCACTAACCTTTGCAATTTTTCTTTAGAATCTCCATAAGCACAGTATCATCAGCAAAAAGTAACTGTGTCAATTCCCATTTTGAATTTGATTTCCCCATAATTTAATCCCACCCCCTCCCCCAAAACACCCTAGCATTTACTTCCTTTACAACCCCATCTATAAATATATTAACAACCATGGTGACATTACACATCCCTGTCTAAGACCTACTTTTACCGGGAAGTAGTCTCCCTCTCTTCTACACACCCTAACCTGAGCCTCACTATCCTCATAAAAACTCTTTACAGCATTTAATAACTTACCACCTATTCCATATACTTGCAACATCTGCCACATTGCTCCTCTATCCACTCTATCATATGCCTTTTCTAAATCCATAAATGCAATAAAAACTTCCCTATCTTTATCTAAATACTGTTCACATATATGCTTCAATGTAAACACCTGATCTACACATCCCCTACCCACTCTAAAACCTCCTTGCTCATCCGCAATCCTACATTCTGTCTTACCTCTAATTCTTTCAATTATAACCCTACCGTACACTTTTCCTGGTATACTCAGTAAGCTTATTCCTCTATAATTTTTACAGTCTCTTTTGTCCCCTTTCCCTTTATATAAAGGGACTATACATGCTCTCTGCCAATCCCTAGGTACCTTCCCCTCTTTCATACATTTATTAAACAAAAGTACCAACCACTCCAACACTATATCCCCCCCTGCTTTTAACATTTTCTGTCATGATCCCATCAATTCCAGCTGCTTTACCCCCTTTCATTTTACGTAATGCCTCACGTACCTCCCCACACTTACATTCTGCTCTTCTTCACCCCTAAAAGATGGTATACCTCCCTGACCAGTGCATGAAATTACTGCCTCTGTTTCTTCCTTAACATTTAAAGTTCCTCAAAATATTCTCGCCATCTACCCAATACCTCCATCTCCCCATCTACTAACTCCCCTACTCTGTTTTTAACTGACAAATCCAATTTTCCCTAGGCTTTCTTAACTTGTTTAACTCACTCCAAAATTTTTTTTCTTATTTCATTAAAATTTCTTGACAGTGCCTCTCCCACTCTATCATCTGCTCTCCTTTTGCACTCTCTCACCACTCTCTTTACCTTTCTTTTACTCTCCATAATACTCTGCTCTTCTTATAACACTTCTGCTTTGTAAAAACCTCTCATAAGCTACCTTTTTCTCTTTTATCACACCCTTTTACTTCATCATTCCACCAATCACTCCTCTTTCCTCCTGCCCCCACCCTCCTATAACCACAAACTTCTGCCCCACATTCTAATACTGCATTTTTAAAACTATTCCAACCCTCTTCAACCCCCCCACTACTCATCTTTGCACTAGCCCACCTTTCTGCCAAATAGTCGCTTATATCTCACCCGAACTTCCTCCTCCCTTAGTTTATACACTTTCACTTCCCTCTTACTTGTTGTTGCCACCTTCCTCTTTTCCCATCTACCTCTTACTCTAACTGTAGCTACAACTAAATAATGATCCGATATATCAGTTCCCCCTCTATAAACATGTACATCCTGGAGCCTACCCATCAACCTTTATCCACCAATACATAATCTAATAAACTACTTTCATTACGTGCTACATCATACCTTGTATATTTATTTATCCTCTTTTTCATAAAATATGTATTACTTATTACCAAATTTCTTTCTACACATAGCTCAATTAAAGGCTCCCCATTTACATTTACCCCTGGCACCCCAAATTTACCTACTACTCCCTCCATAACATTTTTACCCACTTTAGCATTAAAATCCCCAACCACCATTACTCTCACACTTGATTCAAAACTCCCCACGCATTCACTCAACATTTCCCAAAATCTCTCTCTCTCCTCTACACTTCTCTCTTCTCCAGGTGCATACACGCTTATTATAACCCACTTTTCACATCCAATCTTTATTTTACTCCACATAATCCTTGAATTAATACATTTATAGTCCCTCTTTTCCTGCCATAGCTTATCCTTCAACATTATTGCTACTCCTTCTTTAGCTCTAACTCTATTTGAAACCCCTGACCTAATCCCATTTATTCCTCTCCACTGAAACTCTCCCACCCCCTTCAGCTTTGTTTCACTTAAAGCCAGGACATCCAGCTTCTTCTCATTCATAACATCCACAATCATCTCTTTCTTATCATCTGCACAACATCCACGCACATTCAGACTTCCCACTTTGACAATTTTCTTCTTCTTATTCTTTTTAGTAATCTTTACAGGAAAAGGGGTTTTCTAGCCCATTGTTCCCGGCATTTTAGTTGACTTTTACAACACGCATGGCTTACGGAGGAAAGATTCTTATTCCACTTCCCCATGGATATAAAAGGAAAATTAATAAGACCAAGAACTATTAAGATAAAATCAAAGAAAACTCAGATGAGTGTGTATAAATAAATGTGTACATGTATGTGTAGTGTGACCTAAGTGTAAGTAGAAGTAGCAAGACATGCCTGTAATCTTGCATATTTATGAGACAGACAAAAGACATCAGCAATCCTACCATCATGTAAAACAATCACAGGCTTCGTTTTACACTCACTTGGCAGGACGGTAGTACCTCCCTGGGTGGTTGCTGTCTACCAACCTACTACCTATATTTATAATTATATAATTATATTTATAATTTATAATTATATTTATAATTTATTTATAATTTAGAATATAAACAAGAAATAAAAGTGTGACTATCGCAACCACTACTCTGGGGTCATATAAAGAATACAAAGTCACAATACCGTGACTGGAACAATACACCAATAACTCGCACAGAGGAGAATGAAACCTATAACGACATTTCAGTCCAACCTGGTCCATTAACTAGTCACAGGTGTGACTAGTTAATGTTCCAAGTCGGGCCAAACATTACAAGTTTCATTCTTCTGACTCACAAAATCATGACACAATTACAAACAAAACATACAGGTACCTAAAGTACCTGACCAGCCAGGTTGTGGTTCATACATCGGTTATGTGTGGCCAATAGTAACAGCCTGGTTGATCAGGCCCTGATCCATCATGAGGCCTGGTCACAGACCAGGCCATGGGGGCATTGACCCCCAAAACCCTCTCCAGGTATACCCCAGGTATACCACGATTGTGTACTGGGATCATACAGTTTATGCAAGATTTACAAATGAAATATTATATTTTTATACTTTTCAGTCAAAACTTGCACATATTAACAATTTAAGCATTTATTAATACCCTAATACACGAAGTACTGAATTTACAAATGCCTGAAGTTACATATACACATACACACTTACAAACGTTTTGCAATCACTGAGCCACAGCATAAACACATGTGAATCATGTTGAATTATTCTCTCCTCTCACATTGCATTGCCTAAAATGTTCTGCATAATCATGAGTTTTCTGCATGCATTCAAGTGTCACCGATTCCTGTAGATATAAGGTATCATGTGGAAATAAACTTGAATTTGAATCTCCTTTCATTCTCTCAAAATGTATTTTTTTTTACGCTAAGCATAACATGATTAAGAAAAATTACCATTGTGACCTGTCACTCTTCCTCCATCATTGGCTATTGTCCCTGAGCGTTCGTCGTAAGGCAGCAAAGAGTCAATGTTGATTCCTCTGTAGCCGATGCTTCGTAAAATTAAGCCACACTGCAGGGTTTCCATTTCAGTCGTCTGTACAGCTCTCTGGTTTAGTCCCTCACCCTCAAGTCTTCAACAATATAAAAATGCTATATTAAGCAGTTGATAATTTAGCTGAGAAATGAGCATTGCTTAAAAATAAAAAGGAACAGTCGAAATGCAACAGTACAGTGGACCCCCGGTTAACGAACTTTTTTCATTCCAGTAGTATGTTCAGGTGCCAGTACTGACCGAATTTTTTCCCATAAGGAATATTGTGAAGTAGATTAGTCCATTTCAGACCCCCAAACATACACGTACAAACGCACTTACATAAATACACTTACATAATTGGTCGCATTTGGAGGTGATCGTTAAGCGGGGGTCCACTGTATATAGTAAATCTTCTTACAACACAACTTTACACTGCATGATGTTGTTGCAATGTGATTCAAATATTGTGACCAAAAATTTTAAGAGTGCATGAGAATTTTGACATTACATGCCATAAAGCCTTAACAAATTAGCTAACATGCTAAATTTTGGTACTACATATATTACAGGTTTCCACTGCATCAAGTTATGTGAAAAATCTGGGTATTTCACAATGGAATTTCTTCCCTCCAACCCAAGTTATGTATTACTACTACAACTTATATCACTACTACTACTACTACTACCACTAGTACTACACCTCACTCTAAGCCTATATTTACCCTCTGTGTCCATGTACTGTTTGTAACGGCTTGACAAAGCTCCTGGAGAGCGAAACGTTGCCACAATAAAATGTTACACTAGTTGCACTTGTGTCCTTTTACTTTACAACCCAAGTTAAGCAAAACTATTGAGTTTGGGGAAGGCACAACTCATCCCCCCTCCCTCCCCTCCCCTCCCCTCCTCCCACTCTCATCACCCCACCTATAGCTAGTAAATTTGTTTAGGTACAGTTACACATAAATAGTTACACGAATTGTCGTACACAGCAACATATGTGCAAATTACCCAGAATAACCCAAAAGAAGTCAGACCATATGACTTATTTTCATTACGGTCCTTGTTACTCTCTGCAAGCATCACCTACATCACACACAATGTGTGCAGTGCCCTGTGGCCTGGTGGCTAAAGCTCTCGCTTCACATGGTGAGGGTCTGGGTTTGATTCCTAGTGAGGGTAGAAACATTAGGCATGTTTCTTTGCACTGGTTGTCTATGTTCCACAGCAGTAAAATGGGAACCTGTGGGTTAGTCGACTGGTGTGGGTCACATCCTGGGACAAAACTGACCTAATTTACCAGAAATGCTCTGCATAACAAGTGATTTTCTATATAGTAATATGTCATTGATGTCAGCTATGGTCTGTATACCTTGTACATGTACTTGTAGAAATAAAGCTATTATTATTATTAATATTATTATTATTTTTATTTTATTTTATTAACACACTGGCCGATTCTCACCAAGGCAGGGTGGCCCGAAAAAGAAAAACTTTCACCATCATTCTCTCCATCACTGTCTTGCCAGAAGGGTGCTTTACACTACAGTTTTTAAACTGCAACATTAACACCCCTCCTTCAGAGTGCAGGCACTGTACTTCCCATCTCCAGGACTCAAGTCCGGCCTGCCGGTTTCCCTGAACCCCTTCATAAATGTTACTTTGCTCACACTCCAACAGCACGTCAAGTATTAAAAACCATTTTTCTCCATTCACTCCTATCAAACACGCTCACGCATGCCTGCTGGAAGTCCATTATTATTATTATTATTATTATTATTATTATTAAACAATTTTGATTATTTTCATGCAGTCACTTCATCTCTGGATATTAAGTATGGTGCCTCAGAGAATACAAGTGATGTTGGAGGCACCAAGAAGAATAACCATAAATCTATGACGGTACTGAAGAAAGTGTAAGGTTTTGATGTGCTTTGAGGCAGCACATTTGTTTCATCAAATCATCATTGATTTGTTTCATCAAATCATCATTGATTTGTTTCATCAACTTTGACCACCATTTATGCAACTGATGTCTCTCCCTTAACACCTGCACCTCTCCCACAACCTATCACTTTCACTTCTTAGCACTCCATAAGCACAGTAATACTGATGTTGCTTTTAAGGCCTATTGATTGCACTCAGTTCATTCGACCTGTACATAAAAATAAAAATAGGATGACTTAATATAGAAAATATATTCACTATCATTCATTCAATGACTGCCTTGCCAGATATGCATTAACATCATAATTCAACTAACCCTTAAAAATACAATATCCCCCCACCACCCAGAGTGAGCACTGTACTTCCAATTTCCACAACTCAAGTCTATTAAAATATAAAAAGTCTTAATTAAAATAACTAAAAAAACTATTATTATTATTATTATTATCACAAGGAAGCATTCAACCCCAAAACGTCACACAACACCAGGGGAAGGGGAAGCAATCAGGTTTGATCCCAAAAAGAGGAGGACAGGTCCAATCCCTTGAATAAAGAGCCCCTCATAGGCATCCAGACTGTCTCTCAAGGAGTGGCTAAACTACAACAAAAAACTTTAAGCTCAATGTACCTATTTTTGGCCAGTTTCACGGCACACACAGCATGGCCACCAGGTGCTGCCAGGATCTCCACAGGACTCAGCAAGAAGCGAAGACTCCATTCCCTTTCTGCAGAAGACCACGACGATGCTAGTTTGGGCTCCGGTGAGTCGAGAGCAGTTTTAGCCAAAAGCTCCAGAAGTCTCTTACGCTGTCGTGGCAAACCTGGCAATGGCGAAAGAATTTTATTTTTATTTTTACAATATACCAGTCGTCTCCCACCAAGGTAAGGTGACTCAAAAAAGAAGAAAAGTAGCATGTAAGCATTAATACTAGTCTGCCCAAAATACACATGCATGCTAGTGGCTTTCTCTTGAGTTGAACAATATTTTATTACGTACATGTAAACTACATTTCTGTATAATTCACAAGAAAATAAAATGTTTGTTTGTTTGTTTTTGCTTTATAAAGCTTTTCTTCTTTTTACATTTAGTAATGTAAACAGGAGAAGGGTTAATAGTCCTTTGCGCCTGGCATTTTAGTGGCCTCTTATGACATGCATGGCTTATGGAGGAAGGATTCTTGTCCGTTTCCCCATGGAGTTTTCTGAAAATATTGCCTGAAATTGATGAAATATATTTGTTATGCATCTGATACAAACTCGTTTTTTCAAACATATCCACATTTGGTAATTTTATTGTATATTGTAATTAGGGAAGTAGTCAGACTACAACCTCTGTTTGTAGTTATTTACAACAGTTGCATGATGGAGTCACTCATACCAGCTGCATGATGGAGTGTCACTCATACCAGCTGTGCGATGGAGAAAACACTCATACCAGCTGCATGATGGAGAAGTCACTCATACCAGCTGTATGATGGAGAAGTCACTCATACCAGATGCATGATGGAGAAGTCACTCATACCAGCTGTATGATGGAGAAGTCACTCATACCAGCTGCACGATGGAGAAGTCACTCATACCAGCTGCATGATGGAGAAGTCACTCATACCAGCTGCATGATGGAGAAGACACTCATACCAGCTGCATGATGGAGAAGTCACTCATACCAGCTGCATGATGGAGAAGACACTCATACCAGCTGCATGATGGAGAAGTCACTCATACCAGCTGCATGATGGAGAAGACACTCATACCAGCTGCATGATGGAGAAGACACTCATACCAGCTGCATGATGGAGAAGACACTCATACCAGCTGCATGATGGAGAAGTCACTCATACCAGCTGCATGATGGAGAAGACACTCATACCAGCTGCATGATGGAGAAGACACTCATACCAGCTGCATGATGGAGAAGTCACTCATACCAGCTGCATGATGGAGAAGTCACTCATACCAGCTGCATGATGGAGAAGTCACTCATACCAGCTGCATGATGGAGAAGACACTCATACCAGCTGCATGATGGAGAAGTCACTCATACCAGCTGCATGATGGAGAAGTCACTCATACCAGCTGCATGATGGAGAAGACACTCATACCAGCTGCATGATGGAGAAGTCACTCATACCAGCTGCATGATGGAGAAGACACTCATACCAGCTGCATGATGGAGAAGTCACTCATACCAGCTGCATGATGGAGAAGTCACTCATACCAGCTGCATGATGGAGAAGACACTCATACCAGCTGCATGATGGAGAAGACACTCATACCAGCTGCATGATGGAGAAGTCACTCATACCAGCTGCATGATGGAGAAGTCACTCATACCAGCTGCACGATGGAGAAGACACTCATACCAGCTGCATGATGGAGAAGACACTCATACCAGCTGCATGATGGAGAAGTCACTCATACCAGCTGCATGATGGAGAAGACACTCATACCAGCTGCATGATGGAGAAGACACTCATACCAGCTGCATGATGGAGAAGACACTCATACCAGCTGCATGATGGAGAAGTCACTCATACCAGCTGCATGATGGAGAAGACACTCATACCAGCTGCATGATGGAGTCACTTATACCAGCTACATAGAGTCATGCCAGTGAAAAATAAGGAAAAAGGGAGGAAAATGAGGAGGAAAGGGATTAAAATAAAAGGCAGAGGAAAAGAATGACAAAAAGAAAGAACAAAAAAAAAAGGAAAAGGATCAAAAGGAAGAAAAGAGGAGAGATAATTGATAAAAAGGAGAAAAATTACAATAATGATGCTAAATGTACTTATCAGTCCTTCTAATGCCAATAGTATAAAATACAAATAACCGTCACATAGGGGACGGAAACTTATGACGATGTTTTGGTCCAACTTGGACCGCTGACTAGTAGGACTGAAACGTCATCATGAGTTCCTTACTTCTTTCTTTCTATTCTCTTCACTCTTTTGTGTTAGTGTGACTTTGTGAAAGCTCCAAGTTGAACCAAAACATTGCAGTAAGTTCCTTTCTCCTATGTCCAGGTTATTTGTGTATTGCTCCAGTCATGATATTATGCCTTTTAGCTCTTTCTTCTATGTGGGAGTTTTATGTGTATTGTTCCAGTCACGGCATTGTGACCTTTTGTTCCTTAAAGAGTTTAAATAAAGGAGTGACATAGCATAGTTCATCACAACTGTCACAAAAGTAGGCGATACCTGGATTATACTGCGACTAACTTGGTATTAGGTCTCTCAAGTGGGAATAATCTTGGGGTCTGAGCTGAGGCCTACACTCTGGCAAGTGAATCATCTCTCGCAGCTCCTTAATGGTCAATGCAACGTGTTGTGGCCCTCGACGACCAACCAGGGTCACACGTTTCACCTTGCTGCGGCTTAAGGCATCAAGTACATTCTCTGGGATGTCAGTTTTCTGTACATTAGATGGCATAAAGTTTTATGTTACCATTAACATGCAATTTATTTGTATATGTTTAATATATGTTATGTATATAAAGTTAATCATATTAAATGTCTGAAATTTATATGCAGTACTTAAATGTGTAATTTTATAATATATTTTACTCCTACTTTAAGTTTATTTCTTAACCTATCTTTGTTATATGATTTATTATTATTATTATTATTATTATTATTATTATTATTATTATTATTATTATTATTATTATTATTATTACTATTATTTTATTATTGTTGTTATTTTTTATCATAATAATATTATTCTTATTATTATATTTATGAGAGCAGTAAACCCACAGGGGTATTACAATACCAAGGAAATGGGAGGAAATTAGGTTTAATTGACCCTCTGACTGCTTTGGTCGTATATATACGTCTTACGAGCCACCGTGTTTGATGTACAGTGGACCCTTAACCAGCGATGGCATCGATTAACGATAAATCTGACTAGCGATACATTTAAACGCAAAAATTTTGCCTCAACTAGCACTTAAAAACCCGACCAGCGCTATTCGTTCTGTACTATACGCGTCCACTTTGGCCTGACCGCGCCTCACTTGTCCCTTGGGTGTCAGTGTTTACAAGCCAGCCACCCACCGCGGTCGCTTCCAAACATACAACAACTGGAGCATTTCATATTATCACAGCCTTTGTAGTGATTGCACCTGCAAAATAAGTCACCATGGGCCCCAAGAAAGCTTCTAGTGCCAACCCTACAGTAAAAAGGGTGAGAATTACTATGGAGATGAAGAAAAAGATCATTGCTAAGTATGAAAGTGGAGTGCGTGTCTCTGAGCTGGTCAGGTTGTATAATAAACCCCAATCAACCATCGCTACTATTGTGGGTAAGAAAACGGCAATCAATGAAGCTGTTCTTGCCAAAGGTGCAGCTGCTGCTGCACCATAGTCAGCTGTTGTTGTTGCTACACCACCATCAGCTGTATTACTCGAAGATGTGGAGAGAGTGTTGTTGGTGTGGCTTAACGTGAAACAATTACCAAGAAACGATTAACCCCAGAGGGTTAGCCACCCAGGATAACCCAAGAAAGTCAGTGCATCATCAAGGACTGTCTAACTTGACTCAAGAAATCGTGGCTAACGCGACGGGCTGAAGTTTTGAGACTCTATGACCGCGGGTTCAATCCCGGCCGGGGGTATGGACTGTCTAACTTATTTCCATTGGGTGTCCTTAATCTTGTCCCCCAGGATGCGACCCACAACAGTTGACTAACACCCAGGTGAACAGGAAAAAATGCCTGGAACTAGTGCTCATATTGGTGAGGTTAGTGGGGAGGATGTGGAAGAGTTGGTGGAGGAGGACAATGAAGAACAAACCACTGATGAGCTGCTAGATCATCTTCAACAGTAAGAGGCCACACCTGAGGAAACTGCTTCGGAGGAGGGGAGAGAGAAATTGAAGAAGTTGCCTACTTCAAAGATTAAGGAAATGTGTGCAATGTGGCTTAAAGTGCAAACCTTTGTTGATGAAAATCACCCTCACACAGCTATTGCAAGCCGTGCTGGTGACTATTACACTGACAATGTTGTGAAACACTTTAGGATAAAGGAACGAGAGGTACAGGCCTCTATGGACAGCTATGTTGTGCGACAGAAGTCCAGTGACTCTGAAGCTGGTCCTAGTGGCATTAAAAGAACAAGGGAAGTAACCCCAGAAAAAGACTTGCTACCTCAAGTGCTAATGGAAGGGGATTCCCCTTCTAAACACTAACAAGATCAACAGTCTCCCCTCCTCCCATCCCATCAATCATCACCAGATCTTCAATAAAGGTAAGTGTCATGTAACTGTGCATGTCTTCTTCAGTTTGTGTATATTAAAATTAATATTTCATGTGGTAAAAATTTTTTTTTTCAATACTTTGGGGTGTCTGGCACGGATTAATTTGATTTCCATTATTTCTTATGGGGAAAATTAACTTGACTAATGATTATTTTGATTAACGATGAGCTCTCAGGAACGGATTAATATCGCTGGTTGAGGGTCCACTGTATATACATGTACATGTATACTCAAAAATTCTAGCGGCTTCAAATCAAGCAGGAGAAAGCTGGTAGGCCCACTTGTGAGAGAATGGGTCTGTGTGGTCAGTGTGCACCATATAAAAAAAATCCTGCGGCACGCAGAGTATGATGAGAAAAAATAAACTCCGACCATGTTTTTGGATTAAAACGTCAACTTTGTGGTGCATTTTCATGTAGTATTTATGGTTGTATTCTGGGTTTCTTGGTCTCATTTGATAGAATGGAAAACATATTACAGAAATAGAGGTGATTTTGATTGGTTTTACTATGAAAAGAACCTTGAAATGGAGCTCAAAGTAGGGGAAATGTTTGATTTTTGCCGATGTTCAAAAGTAAATAAATGATGTCATTTTCCAATAAATGTCCAAGTAGCCATTGTAATATGCAGTCATGAATGGGTTGACATTATTTATACAATTATTACAATATTGCAGTAGTCTACATAACAGTAAATTTGCTATTTTTTGTTTGAATAAAAATTCAAAACAGAAAAGCAAGAGTAATATCAGAGGGGCCTCAAGACGTGACTGATGAACAAAGAAAATACTATTTTAGAGCCAGGAATGTTTGCATTGTTCATTCTGGACCCTATTTTGAAATTGGCATATTTTTTAATTTGCGTGAAATTGGCCAAATTGCAAATTTCTGACCACATTATTGGGTAGTTGAAATCGGTAAATGGGCAGTTTCTTGTACTCAATCGATAAAACAAATGGAGTTCTAAAGAAATAGCTATGAGTTTGGTCAACTGGACAATGGGATTAGCCAAAAGTAGGGTTCAAATTGGGGGAAATCGCCGATTCGTAAATATCGCTTAGGTCGCTAACTTCACGAGAGCTTAATTCCGTAAGTTTTCCATCAAATTTTGTTCTTTTGGTATCATTACCATTGGGAAAAGATTATCACCATGTTAGTGAATCGTGCCTGTACTCTATAAATAAAATATGTATACTGAAATTACCACAGACACTTACCTTCAATAAAGCAATAGGTGTGAGTAGAATTCTGGCAACATCCACAGCAACATTTCCCTGACCAATAATAACCACAGAATCAACATCCAGGTCGACCTCTAGACTAGCATCATCGGGTAAACCATTGTACCAACCTACAAACTGCCGGGCGGATAACACATTACGTAATGATTCTCCTGGTACATTCAGTGCTGTGTCTTGCGATGCGCCGTAGGCCTAAAATGTGAGACATATATTTTACTGAAACTACAAAGTATTAATGGTAAAAATGGAACAGTACATAAATGAAAACAAATGAGAACATTTAATATGAATGGAGTAATATCTTGAAGCATACTCTTCTCCAAATATAATTTTTTCTGTCCTTTAAATACAGTTCTTTGTTCTCCAATACAGAGTTCTTGCTGTACTCATATACAGAGTTCTTTCTGTCCTGGATTAGCCTAATGTAACTTAAATTAATCTCCTATTGACATATACATAGTTAACCATCAGTAATAAAACAAGAAGCTTTATTTTATTATGTACCAGAATAACTGCATGGTAAGCTTCTTTCAGCTGGTGTAATGTAACATCCTCACTTATGGTCACATTGCCCAAAAACGTGAATCTGTCTTTGGCAGCAGTTTGTGTGAAGGTGTTGATACAGTTCTTCACCTCGGGATGGTCCGGGGCCACTCCGTAACGGACCAAACCAAACGGAACCGGTAACTTTTCATACATATCAACTCTTGCTGTTGCATGACTCTGAAAATAGACAAAAAAATTAGATTTAGATGGTTAAAGAGATATAGATGGCTGAAACGACATAGATTTCCAAGAAGGCATAGATTTTTGAGAAGACATAGATTTCTGAGAACCCACACATTTCTTCTTGGCAAAGTCACTTGCTTCAGTAGCCATTGCTAATTACACTTTACTTAATACACTACATTAATAAAGTCACACAAATCATTATAAACTCAAAAAAAATTAGAGAGTAAATGATGAGTGAATGCAAGAGTAAACATAAACAAGAAATTGGCAAACGTGGCCTATGGCTCAGTGAACAATGAAAATGGAAAGATCCTGGATGTGGCCACTTTGGCCCATACTCAGAGCCACATTAAGGCATGGGCTTCAGGGGCTGCAGCCCAGGGGTCTCTGCCAGCTGAAGGACCTCCAGGTGCTGCAGCCCAGGGGCCTCACAGTACCTGTAGCCCAGGGGCCTCACAGTACCTGTAGCCCAGGGGCCTCACAGTACCTGTAGCCCAGGGGCCTCACAGTACCTGTAGCCCAGGGGCCTCACAGTACCTGTAGCCCAGGGGCCTCACAGTACCTGTAGCCCAGGGGCCTCACAGTACCTGTAGCCCAGGGGCCTCACAGTACCTGAAGTCCAGGGGCCTCACAGTACCTGTACCCCAGGGGCCTCACAGTACCTGTAGTCCAGGGGCCTCACAATACCTGTAGCCCAGGGGCCTCACAGTACCTGTAGCCCAGGGGCCTCACAGTACCTGTAGTCCAGGGGCCTCACAGTACCTGTAGCCCAGGGGCCTCACAGTACCTGTAGCCCAGGGGCCTCACAGTACCTGTAGTCCAGGGGCCTCACAGTACCTGAAGTCCAGGGGCCTCACAGTACCTGTAGCCCAGGGGCCTCACAGTACCTGTAGTCCAGGGGCCTCACAGTACCTGTAGCCCAGGGGCCTCACAGTACCTGTAGCCCAGGGGCCTCACAGTACCTGAAGTCCAGGGGCCTCACAGTACCTGTAGCCCAGGGGCCTCACAGTACCTGTAGTCCAGGGGCCTCACAGTACCTGTAGCCCAGGGGCCTCACAGTACCTGTAGCCCAGGGGCCTCACAGTACCTGTAGTCCAGGGGCCTCACAGTACCTGTAGCCCAGGGGCCTCACAGTACCTGTAGCCCAGGGGCCTCACAGTACCTGTAGTCCAGGGGCCTCACAGTACCTGAAGTCCAGGGGCCTCACAGTACCTGTAGCCCAGGGGCCTCACAGTACCTGTAGCCCAGGGGCCTCACAGTACCTGTAGCCCAGGGGCCCTCACAGTACCTGTAGCCCAGGGGCCTCACAGTACCTGAAGTCCAGGAGCCTCACAGTACCTGTAGCCCAGGGGCTTCACAGTACCTGTAGCCCATGGGCCTCACAGTACCTGAAGTCCAGGGGCCTCACAGTACCTGTAGCCCAGGGGCTTCACAGTACCTGTAGCCCAGGGGCCTCACAGTACCTGTAGCCCAGGGGCTTCACAGTACCTGTAGCCCAGGGGCCTCACAGTACCTGTAGCCCAGGGGCCTCACAGTACCTGTAGTCCAGGGGCCTCACAGTACCTGTAGCCCAGGGGCTTCACAGTACCTGTAGCCCAGGGGCCTCACAGTACCTGTAGCCCAGGGGCCTCACAGTACCTGTAGTCCAGGGGCCTCACAGTACCTGTAGCCCAGGGGCCTCACAGTACCTGTAGTCCAGGGGCCTCACAGTACCTGTAGCCCAGGGGCCTCACAGTACCTGTAGCCCAGGGGCCTCACAGTACCTGTAGCCCAGGGGCCTCACAGTACCTGTAGCCCAGGGGCCTCACAGTACCTGAAGTTCAGGGGCCTCACAGTACCTGTAGCCCAGGAGCCTCACAGTACCTGAAGTCCAGGGGCCTCACAGTACCTGTAGCCCAAGGACCTCACAGTACCTGAAGTCCAGGGGCCTCACAGTACCTGTAGCCCAGGGACCTCACAGTACCTGAAGTCCAAGGGCCTCACAGTACCTGTAGCCCAGGGGCCTCACAGTACCTGTAGCCTAGGGGCCTCACAGTACCTGAAGTCCAGGGGCCTCACAGTACCTGTAGCCCAGGAGCCTCACAGTACCTGAAGTCCAGGGGCCTCACAATACCTGTAGCCCAGGAGCCTCACAGTACCCGAAGTCCAGGGGCCTCACAGTACCTGTAGCCCAGGGACCTCACAGTACCTGAAGTCCAGGGGCCTCACAGTACCTGTAGCCCAGGGACCTCACAGTACCTGAAGTCCAGGGGCCTCACAGTACCTGTAGCCCAGGGGCCTCACAGTACCTGTAGCCCAGGGGCCTCACAGTACATGAAGTCCAGGGGCCTCACAGTACCTGTAGCCCAGGAGCCTCACAGTACCTGAAGTCCAGGGGCCTCACAGTACCTGTAGCCCAGGAGCCTCACAGTACCTGAAGTCCAGGGGCCTCACAGTACCTGTAGCCCAGGAGCCTCACAGTACCTGAAGTCCAGGGGCCTCACAGTACCTGTAGCCCAGGGACCTCACAGTACCTGAAGTCCAGGGGCCTCACAGTACCTGTAGCCCAGGAGCCTCACAGTACCTGAAGTCCAGGGGCCTCACAGTACCTGTAGCCCAGGGACCTCACAGTACCTGAACTCCAGGGGCCTCACAGTACCTGTAGCCCAGGGGCCTCACAGTACCTGAAGTCCAGGGGCCTCACAGTACCTGTAGCCCAGGGGCCTCACAGTACCTGAAGTCCAGGGGCCTCACAGTACCTGTAGCCCAGGGGCCTCACAGTACCTGAAGTCCAGGGGCCTCACAGTACCTGTAGCCCAGGGGCCTCACAGTACCTGAAGTCCAGGGGCCTCACAGTATCTGTAGCCCAGGGGCCTCACAGTATCTGTAGCCCAGGGGCCTCACAGTATCTGTAGCCCTGGGGCCTCACAGTACCTGTAGCTCAGGGACCTACAAAATCTTAATCTGGCTCTGCCCATATCAAACAAACATCGGAGACTTGGCCTGATGCCTCAGAAGACAACTGGACACTATTGCTAAGGACAAAATGCAGAATTACAAACTTTTGTCTATTTTATCCAATAATAATAATAAATATATTTCTTTTCTGCAGTATACAGGTAATATAGTTTACATGTAATAAAACATTGTTATCACAAAAGAAAGCCAGTAGCATGCAGTACATTTCAGGCAGACTAAAATACTAATGCTTAAAACTACTTAAGAACTACACATGGGTTATTAAGTAGGAGTTTTTAAATGTACAAAAAATTAAGAATATTTGTCCAGTTAATTTTTTTTGCCCAAAATTCCCAAAATCTGTTAATGAGAGGTTTTATTGTAGTATATACAGGAGCACCCTGCTTACACAGCAAGTTAGGTTCTGGGCTACTGCTGTATGGGAGGGTCTTGCTTATACAGCAGGTTCCAGGCTGCTGCTGTACAGGAGGGTCTTGCTTATACAGCAGGTTCCAGGCTACTGCTGTACGGGAGGGTCTCGCTTATACAGCAGGTTCCAGGCTACTGCTATACGGGAGGGTCTCGCTTATACAGCAGGTTCCAGGCTGCTGCTGTACGGGAGGGTCTCGCTTATACAGCAGGTTCCAGGCTACTGCTATACGGGAGGGTCTCGCTTATACAGCAGGTTCCAGGCTGCTGCTGTACGGGAGGGTCTCGCTTATACAGCAGGTTCCAGGCTACTGCTATACGGGAGGGTCTCACTTATACAGCAGGTTCCAGGCTACTGCTGTAAAGTGAAAATCAATGCAAAGTGAAACAGCTTTTCTTACTTTGAAACACATATAAAAGCCTGATAACATGTTTACACTATCATAAATTAAGTGAGAAATAGAGCTAGGCCTAAAAAATGGATATACAGTACATGTATTACTTACCATTAAATATTTTTGGCCTTAGTTTATAGTGAGTGGTGAATATATTTATTGTAGGAAGTCTGAATAAATGAAGAATGGGTATAACTGAAAACTGCTGCATTAGCAAAATGCCATAAAGTAAAGCACTGTAAGCCAAGGCCCACCTGTATATAATGCATGTATGTATGTACAGTGGAACCTCAAAAATCGAACTGCTCCCAACACAACTAATTATGTAAGTGTATTTTTGTAAGTGCTTTTATAAGTGTATTTTTAAGGGTCTGAAATGGACTAATCTAATTTACATTATTCCTGATGGGAATAAATTCATTCGGTAAAGGCACTCGAACAGACTTCTGGACTGAAGAAAGTTCGATTTTTGAGGTTCCACTGTATGTACAAAATAAATATATGAATACATTAGGGTGACAGTAATGCACAGTCTATGGAAAACAAAATATATTAATTCCCCAAATATAAAGTTACTTTAAGTATTTGCTGTGCAGTATAGAAGCCTGCTGGACCACTGCCGACGATACACACTTGAGGAACCTGGGAGAGTCGGGCAGCAGCTGTGCTCAGGCAGCGACCTATTGCTCCATCAAATGCACACCTCAACATTGCTCTTTAAAAGAAAAGAAAACAAAATGGTGAGAAACAATGGATGGACCTGTGACTCACTGACTCCCATTCGTTTGTAGCTCGAGTGGTAGCACTCTCGGCTCACACCTGCAGGACACGGGTTTGATTCTGGCACAGGTAGAGATATTGACCCCAAAGTTAGTATCTGATCAGCCGGGCTGTGGTTTATGCGCTGCATTACATGCGGCCAGCAGTAACAGCCTGGTTCATCAGGCCCTGATTCACCACGAGGCTTGGCTATGGACCTAACCATGGAGGAATTAACCCCCAGAACGACCTCCAGGTAAATACCTGCTGCCCTGGGTCACCTAGCAATTAGGAGTCACCTGCATGTCAATGTGCTCTTGTGGGTTGCATCCTGGGGAAGAGGCTCGGAGGCCCACAATCAAAATTTATTTTAATTTGGAGAAAGTGCTGACGCCACAAGGCTCATGAAGCGCCTATGTATGATATGTATGATAATTCTATGTAACTGTATTTGTGCATACCTGAATAAACTTACTTACTTACTTACTTACTTACTTAGGCTTGATCCAAGTAAGGGGAGGATAATTCCAGTTCCTTGGATCAAGAGCTCTTGATTTGAGGGGTTCTAACACTTGCTGTCCCAGGGCACCAAGTAATAACTAGACACCTGAGGTAGTCATACTAACACCTGTTGTCCTAGTAATATAATACAAACAGAAACAAGCCACAGTGACTGGCTTCACTCGGTTATCCTGGGTTACTAACCCAGTAGTTAATAATCCAGAGCATCACCAGGTTATCCTGGCTTACTAATCCTGTAGTTAATAATCCAGTCTCAACAGGTTATCCTGGCTTACTAACCCATTATAATTACATAATCTAGAGCCAGTCACTGGGTTATCCTGGCTTACTAACCCGGTAGATTTAATAATCCGGTAAGTCTTCTTCAACAACCTTGAAGCTTCAACAAAGCTTATCTTATCTTCCAAGGCTAAAATAAGCCAGCACAGCTCTCTTATACAAGCCAAGGCAACACTGCCATTAATACACTTAAAATATATTTATACAGTAACTAAATATGGCCACTAGATGCCCAGAAAATATATATATATTCCAAAATAATAGATATTTTTATGTTGTTGTTGTGGTTTATAAGGGCAGTGAGACGCACAAGGTTGTTCAGGGCCACTAAACTTTGTGCTTTATTGTCATCTAACTCACTAAATGAGTGAGTGAATAATGAGTAAATGAGTGAATGAGTGAGTAAATTAGTAAATAAGTGAGTGAATGAGTAAATGAATGAGTGAGTGAATGAGTGAGTAAATAATTTAGCAAATGAGTAAATGTGTGAGTAAATGAGTGAGTAAATGAGTGAGTAAATTAGTAAGTATGTAAGTAACTAAGTAAGCATATAAGTAAGCAAGCAAATAAGTAGGCAAGCAAATAAATAAGCAAATAAGTAAGCAAGCAAGCATGGAAGTAACTCAGTAAGCAAGTAAGTTTATTCAGGTATACACAAATACAGTTACATAGAATTATCATACATAGCAGCATATGTGTAGAGAACCTGGGATAACACAAGTAAGTATATTTAGGTACATATAGTTATACATATAATCATACACAGTGTCATATATGTAAATTACTAACCAGGATAACCTTAAAAATCAGACAGTGACTTATTTCCATTGTCAGCAAGGAAATAGCAAACAAGACTGAAGAACAAGAACAGTGCAGAGAATAACTAGCAAACAAGACTGAAAAATAAGAACAGTAAAAATAGAAACTAGCAAACAAGACTGAAGAACAAGAACAGTACAGAGAATAACTAGCAAACAAGACTGAAGAACAAAACAGTGCAGAGAAAACTAGCAAACAAGACTGAAAAATAAGAACAGTAAAAATAGAAACTAGCAAACAAGACTGAAGAACAAGAACAGTACAGAGAATAACTAGCAAACAAGACTGAAGAACAAGAACAGTACAGAGAAGAACTAGCAAACAAGACTGAAGAACAGGAACAGTACAGAGAAGAACTAGCAAACAAGACTGAAGAACAAGAACAGTAGAGAGAAGAACTAGCAAACAAGACTGAAGAACAAGAACAGTAGAGAGAAGAACTAGCAAACAAGACTGAAGAACAAGAACAGCACAGAGAAGAACTAGCAAACAAGACTGAAGAACAAGAACAGTAGAGAGAAGAACTAGCAAACAAGACTGAAGAATAAGAACAGTACAGAGAAGAACTAGCAAACAAGACTGAAGAACAAGAACAGTACAGAGAAGAACTAGCAAACAAGACTGAAGAACAAGAACAGTACAGAGAATAACTAGCAAACAAGACTGAAGAACAAAAACAGTACAGAGAATAACTAGCAAACAAGACTGAAGAACAAGAACAGTAGAGAGAAGAACTAGCAAACAAGACAGAAGAACAAGAACAGTACAGAGAAGAACTAGCAAACAAGACTGAAGAACAAGAACAGTACAGAGAAGAACTAGCAAACAAGACTGAAGAACAAGAACAGTACAGAGAATAACTAGCAAACAAGACTGAAGAACAAAAACAGTACAGAGAATAACTAGCAAACAAGACTGAAGAACAAAAACAGTACAGATAGGAACCAGCAGATCCATTATTCATTATAATGAAATGTGTCTTGTTAAATAACATTACAAAATTTTGTTAATGTTCGACTTAGGTTAAGCTACAAGTATCTCTGGCAGGACTGTTTGTATGGAGATGTCAGTAATATACACACCAGTGAATGACCAGATCTAGTTCATTATCTCTGTAACTTGTTCAGCTATCAAAACTTTGGAGTCCAGTCCCTGGACCAATTATGTACCTCTGTAATCTTTTGACTACCGCCCACAGGATGGGTATGTGGTGACTACCGCCCACAGGATGGGTATGTGGTGACTACCGCCCACAGGATGGGTATGGGGTGACTACCGCCCACAGGATGGGTATGGGGTGACTACCGCCCACAGGATGGGTATGGGGTGACTACCGCCCACAGGATGGGTATGGGGTGACTACCGCCCACAGGATGGGTATGGGGTGACTACCGCCCACAGGATGGGTATGGGGTGACTACCGCCCACAGGATGGGTATGGGGTGACTACCGCCCACAGGATGGGTATGTGGTGCATAATAAACATATTAAACTAACTAAAACTAACAGTGAATGACAGTGTCATACACCGGTGTGTGGATAGTGACAATGTCATACACTGGTGTGTGGATAGTGACAATGTCATACACTGGTGTGTGGATAGTGACAATGTCATACACTGGTGTGTGGATAGTGACAATGTCATACACTGGTGTGTGGATAGTGACAATGTCATACACTGGTGTGTGGATAGTGACAATGTCATACACTGGTGTGTGGATAGTGACAATGTCATACACTGGTGTGTGGACAGTGACAATGTCATACACTGGTGTGTGGACAGTGACAGTGTCATACACTGGTGTGTGGACAGTGACAGTGTCATACACTGGTGTGTGGACAGTGACAGTGTCATACACTGGTGTGTGGACAGTGACAGTGTCATACACCGGTGTGTGGACAGTGACAGTGTCATACACTGGTGTGTGGATAGTGACAGTGTCATACACTGGTGTGTGGACAGTGACAGTGTCATACACCGGTGTGTGGACAGTGACAGTGTTATTCACTGGTGTGTGGACAGTGACAGTGTTATACACTGGTGTGTGGACAGTGACAGTGTTATACACTGGTGTGTGGACAGTGACAGTGTTATTCACTGGTGTGTGGACAGTGACAGTGTTATACACTGGTGTGTGGACAGTGACAGTGTCATACACTGGTGTGTGGACAGTGGCAGTGTTATACACTGGTGTGTGGACAGTGACAGTGTTATACACTGGTGTGTGGACAGTGACAGTGTCATACACCGGTATGAACAGTGACAGTGTCATACACTGGTGTGTGGACAGTGACAGTGTCATATACTGGTGTGTGGACAGTGACAGTGTCATACGCTGGTGTGTGGACAGTGACAGTGTAATTACACCGGTGTGTGGACAGTGACAGTGTCATACACTGGTGTGTGGAGAGTGACAGTGTCATACACTGGTGTGTGGACAGTGACAGTGTCATACACTGGTGTGTGGACAGTGACAGTGTCATACACTGGTGTGTGGACAGTGACAGTGTTATACACTGGTGTGTGGACTGTGACAGTGTTATACACTGGTGTGTGGACAGTGACAGTGTTATACACTGGTGTGTCAGTGTTGCAGCATGAGTAATGTCAGTGTTGCAGCACGAGTAATGTCAGTGTTGCAGCATGAGTAGTGTCAGTGTTGTAGCATGAGTAATGTCAGTGTTGCAGCATGAGTAATGTCAGTGTTGCAGCATGAGTAGTGTCAGTGTTGCAGCACGAGTAATGTCAGTGTTGCAGCATGAGTAATGTCAGTGTTGCAGCATGAGTAATGTCAGTGTTGCAGCATGAGTAATGTCAGTGTTGCAGCATGAGTAGTGTCAGTGTTGCAGCACGAGTAATGTCAGTGTTGTAGCATGAGTAATGTCAGTGTTGTAGCATGAGTAATGTCAGTGTTGCAGCATGAGTAATGTCAGTGTTGCAGCACGAGTAATGTCAGTGTTGCAGCATGAGTAGTGTCAGTGTTGCAGCATGAGTAATGTCAGTGTTGCAGCATGAGTAATGTCAGTGTTGTAGCATGAGTAATGTCAGTGTTGCAGCATGAGTAATGTCAGTGTTGTAGCATGAGTAGTGTCAGTGTTGCAGCATGAGTAGTGTCAATGTTGTAGCATGAGTAATGTCAGTGTTGTAGCATGAGTAATGTCAGTGTTGTAGCATGAGTAATGTCAGTGTTGCAGCATGAGTAATGTCAATATTGCAGCATGAGTAGTGCCAGTGTTGTAGCATGAGTAGTGTCAGTGTTGCAGCATGAGTAATGTCAATGTTGCAGCATGAGTAGTGCCAGTGTTGTAGCATGAGTAATGTCAGTGTGTAGCATGAGTAATGTCAATGTTGTAGCATGAGTAATGTCAGTGTTGTAGCATGAGTAATGTCAGTGTTGTAGCATGAGTAATGTCAGTGTTGTAGCATGAGTAATGTCAGTGTTGTAGCATGAGTAATGTCAATATTGCAGCATGAGTAGTGCCAGTGTTGTAGCATGAGTAATGTCAGTGTTGTAGCATGAGTAATGTCAGTGTTGTAGCATGAGTAGTGTCAGTGTTGCAGCATGAGTAATGTCAATATTGCAGCATGAGTAGTGCCAGTGTTGTAGCATGAGTAATGTCAGTGTTGTAGCATGAGTAGTGTCATTGTTGTAGCATGAGTAATGTCAGTGTTGTAGCATGAGTAGTGCCAGTGTTGCAGAATGAGTAATGTCAGTGTTGTAGCATGAGTAGTGTCATTGTTGTAGCATGAGTAGTGTCAGTGTTGCAGCATGAGTAATGTCAGTGTTGTAGCATGAGTAGTGTCAGTGTTGCAGCATGAGTAGTGTCAATGTTGTAGCATGAGTAATGTCAGTGTTGTAGCATGAGTAATGTCAGTGTTGTAGCATGAGTAGTGTCAGTGTTGCAGCATGAGTAATGTCAGTGTTGCAGCATGAGTAGTGTCATTGTTGTAGCATGAGTAATGTCAATGTTGTAGCATGAGTAATGTCAGTGTTGTAGCATGAGTAATGTCAGTGTTGTAGCATGAGTAATGTCAGTGTTGCAACACTACCAGTGTTGCAACACTACCAGTGTTGCTTCATCAGTAGTGTTAGTGTTGCAACACCAGTAGTATTAGTGTTGCAACACAAGTAGTGTTAGTGTTGCAACACCAGTAGTATTAGTGTTGCAACACCAGTAGTATTAGTGTTGCAACACCAGTAGTATTAGTGTTGCAACACCAGTAGTATTAGTGTTGCAACACCAGTAGTATCAGAATGTTGATCCTGTATCCAACACCCTCCACGATGCTCACATGTCCTCCAGTGTTGCAACACTAGTAGTGTTACTTCACCAATAGTATTAGTGTTGTAACACTAGAAGTGCTGCAACACTACCAGTGTTGCAACACCAGTAGGATCAACATGTTGATCCTGTATCCAACACCCTCCACGATGCTCACATGTCCTCCAGTGTTGCAACACTAGTAGTGTTACTTCACCAGTAGTATTAGTGTTGCAACACTAGTATCAGCATGTTGATCCTATATCCAACACCCTCCACGATACTCACATGTCCTCCAGTGTTGCAACACTAGTGGTGTTACTTCACCAGTAGTGTTAGTGTTGCAACACTGGTAGTGTTGCAACACTAGTATCAGCATGTTGATCCTATATCCAACACCCTCCACGATACTCACATGTCCTCCAGTGTTGCAACACTAGTAGTGTTGCTTCACCAGTAGTATTAGTGTTGCAACACTAGTACTGTTGCAACACTGGTAGTGTTGCAACACTAGTATCAGCATGTTGATCCTATATCCAACACCCTCCACGATGCTCACATGTCCTCCAGTGTTGCAACACTAGTAGTGTTACTTCACCAGTAGTAGTATTGTTGCAACACTAGTAATGTTGCAACACTGGTAGTGTTGCAAGACCAGTAGGATCAACATGTTGATCCTGTATCCAACACCCTCCACGATGCTCACATGTCCTCCAGTGTTGCAACACTAGTAGTGTTACTTCACCAGTAGTATTAGTGTTGTAACACTAGTAGTGTTGCAACTCTGGTAGTGTTACAACACCAGTAGGATCAACATGTTGATCCTGTATCCAACACCCTCCACGATGCTCACATGTCCTCCAGTGTTGCAACACTAGTAGTGTTACTTCACCAGTAGTATTAGTGTTGTAACACTAGTAGTGTTGCAACACTACCAGTGTTGCAACACCAGTAGGATCAACATGTTGATCCTGTATCCAACACCCTCCACGATGCTCACATGTCCTCCAGTGTTGCAACACTAGTGGTGTTACTTCACCAGTAGTATTAGTGTTGTAACACTAGTAGTGTTGCAACTCTGGTAGTGTTACAACACCAGTAGGATCAACATGTTGATCCTGTATCCAATACCCTCCACGATGCTCACATGTCCTCCAGTGTTGCAACACTAGTAGTGTTACTTCACCAGTAGTATTAGTGCTGCAACACTAGTAGTGTTGCAACTCTGGTAGTGTTACAACACCAGTAGGATCAACATGTTGATCCTGTATCCAACACCCTCCACGATGCTCACATGTCCTCCAGTGTTGCAACACTAGTATTGTTACTTCTCCAGTAGTATTAGTGTTGTAACACTAGTAGTTGCAACACTACCAGTGTTGCAACACCAGTAGGATCAACATGTTGATCCTGTATCCAACACCCTCCACGATGCTCACATGTCCTCCAGTGTTGCAACACTAGTAGTGTTACTTCACCAGTAGTATTAGTGTTGTAACACTAGTAGTGTTGCAACTCTGGTAGTGTTACACCACCAGTAGGATCAACATGTTGATCCTGTATCCAACACCCTCCACGATGCTCACATGTCCTCCAGTGTTGCAATACTAGTAGTGTTACTTCACCAGTAGTATTAGTGTTGTAACACTAGTAGTGTTGCAACACTACCAGTGTTGCAACACCAGTAGGATCAACATGTTGATCCTGTATCCAACACCCTCCACGATGCTCACATGTCCTCCAGTGTTGCAACACTAGAAGTGTTACTTCACCAGTAGTATTAGTGTTGTAAACACTAGTAGTGTTGAAAACTCTGGTAGTGTTAAAAACACCAGTAGGATCAACATGTTGATCCTGTATCCAATACCCTCCACGATGCTCACATGTCCTCCATTGTTGCAACACTAGTAGTGTTACTTCACCAGTAGTATCAGTGTTGCAACACTAGTAGTGTTGCAACACTGGTAGTGTTGCAACACCAGTAGGATCAACATGTTGATCCTGTATCCAACACCCTCCACGATGCTCACATGTCCTCCAGTGTTGCAACACTAGTAGTGTTACTTCACCAGTAGTATTAGTGTTGTAACACTAGTAGTGTTGCAACACTGGTAGTGTTGCAACACCAGTAGGATCAACATGTTGATCCTGTATCCAACACCCTCCACGATGCTCACATGTCCTCCAGTGTTGCAACACTAGTAGTGTTACTTCACCAGTAGTATCAGTGTTGCAACACTAGTAGTGTTGCAACACTGGTAGTGTTGCAACACCAGTAGGATCAACATGCTGATCCTGTATCCAACACCCTCCACGATGCTCACATGTCCTCCAATATTCAACATTTTTGTAAACAATATATTATAAAGTTTATAGTGTTGTGTAGAGCCGCTGTCAGCTCTTGGTGTTGCACAGCTGGTGTCAGCTTCTTATAGCTTCAGATATGTTATAGCTGACACCTAGATGATGTTAGCTGGAGCAGTGATAGAGGAGAAGAGAGACTATGTAACACTCTCTCTACCAGCCCTCCAACACTCCTCCATCACCTCCTCCATCACCACCTCCATCACTCCATCACGATCATGGCGCAGGGTCAGTAACATTACTTTTGACATATGGTGACGGGCTCTTGATCCAGGGAATTGGATCTGTGCTCCAGTTCCCTGAATTAAGCCTGAATACTTTCCACATCTCCCCCCCCCCCTCACCGGCGCTGCATAACCCTACGGGTTTAGCGCTCCCCCTTGATTATAGTAATAATAATACTTTTTACATAATTATCAATATTTTTCACTTGTCTGAAGTGATGGTCATGCATTGGGGCCATTTTAATGGCCTTTATATATTTTCTAAATGGTGGCACTGGGTTATCTAAATCTAAAATTTTCGACCAAGTAATTTTGACATCTCTTCTTCCTATGTTATATTATTATTTTACAATAGCCGCAGCTTGAGGAATAACGTAATAATATATTTTTTCACTTGTCTGAAATATTGTGGGGCCTTTTTAGACCTTTCTTTATTTTCTAAATGCTGGGATTGGGAAATAATTAAATATAATTCCCTACAGAGGTATACTTTTTTATCTGCTCTTCTTTTTATGTTTTTATACTAGTTTACAATAGCCACAGTTTGGGGAGTTACAATATTGGTTTACAATAATCACATTATGAGGATTTACAATATTGGTTTACAATAATCACATTATGAGGATTTACAATATTGGTTTACAATAATCACATTATGAGGATTTACAATATTGGTTTACAATAATCACATTATGAGGATTTACAATATTGGTTTACAATAATCACATCATGAGGATTTACAATATTGGTTTACAATAATCACATTATGAGGATTTACAATATTGGTTTACAATAATCACATCATGAAGATTTACAATATTGGTTTACAATAATCACATTATGAGGATTTACAATATTGGTTTACAATAATCACATTATGAGGATTTACAATATTGGTTTACAATAATCACATCATGAGGATTTACAATATTGGTTTACAATAATCACATCATGAGGATTTACAATATTGGTTTACAATAATCACATCATGAGGATTTACAGTTCTGGTTTACAATAATCACATCATGAAGATTTACAATATTGGTTTACAATAATCACATCATGAGGATTTACAATATTGGTTTACAATAATCACATCATGAGGATTTACAGTTCTGGTTTACAATAATCACATCATGAAGATTTACAATATTGGTTTACAATAGCCAAACCATGAGGATTTACAGTTCTGGTTTACAATAATTACATCATGAGGAATTACAATTCTGGTTTACAATAGCTACAACAGGAGAAATCACAAACACATTAAACACCTGGGTATCTTTATTTGAATAAAGATTTGCAGATGTTGCATGTGTTACTTAAGATAAAATAAGATTATAAGATAGGATTTCGTTTGGATTTTTAACCCCGGAGGGTTAGCCACCAAGGATAACCCAAGAAAGACAGTGCGCCATCAAGGACCGTCTAACTTATTTCCATTGTGGTCCTCAATCTTGTCCCCCAGGATGCCACCCACACCAGTCGACTAACACCCAGGTACCTACTTGCTGCTAGGTGAACAGGACAACAGGTGTAAGGAAACGTGTCGAGATGTTTCCATCCGCCGGGAATCGAACCCGGGCCCTCCGTGTGTGAAGCGGGAGCTTTAGCCACCAGGCCACTTAAGTCCTTATCACCTTGATGCCCCTCAACAGAGGATCCTTGATGCTGGCACAGTGGTCTTGATCCATGGAAATGGACTTCCTCTTCTCTTCCATGGATCAAACCTGAATGCCTTCCATTTCCCCCCAGGTAGTATATGACCCCTACGGGTTTAGCACTCCCCCGTGAATATATAATTCTTCCTCTTTCTAGAATCAAACCTGATTGCTTATTTTTTGGGCACTGCTCATCACCCCTGCAGGTTTAGCACTTATTAAGACTATAATAATTGTTGTGTTCCCTGAAAGGGACTGCCGTCTCTTATCCAAAATAATAAGAGACGGTAAAAGGCGTAACCTAATGAAACTCACTTAACCTAACCCAAATAATAGGACCCCAGTGGAAATAAGTCACTTTGTCTGACTTTTGGGTTATCCAGGGTAATCTACATAGGTTGCAACCACTTAGAGACTGTATATATATAAGCAGACCTGGAGCATTAGTTTACATTTTGCAATACCTACAACCAGTGTACAACAAGGCATAATAACATAATTATTTCTTGTGAAAAAAAAATTATTTTTGATATTAGTGAAAATAGCAGAAAGGTTGTGCACCATGTCAGAGTCAATTATGTAATGTTTAGTATCGAGTTCTGTCACGTGTCGGCCAAATTTAAAAAAAAAAAAAATGCAGCAGTGCTGATGGTGAAGTAAGATCACTGTAATTTGTGGTATATAGGACACATCCTAAATTTAGCATGAAATATGAAGGAAAAATAAAATTGAGGGCAATTTTCTTGAGCCAATGAGCGCACAGTCCAAAGCGTCTAGCGGCTGCTTGGTTACCATGCTCCTGTGCATATACAGGTAGGCCCTGCTTTATAGCATTCCACTAATACAGCATTTTTTCAGTTATATCTATTCTTTATTTATTCAGACTTCCTACAATAAATATATTCACCATTCACTCTAAGAGCAAAAATATATTAAGGTAATTAATGTGTGTACTGTATATGCATTTTTTAAGCCTAACTCTATTGCTCACCTAATATATGATAGAGTAAACATGTTATCAGGCTTTTATATGTAGTATTTGAAAGTGGAAAAAAAAGAGGAGGCGGCAGCTATGTTTCACTTTACAGCAGTAGCCCAGAATCTAACCTGCTGTATAAGCTGGGCTCTCCTACACAGCAGTAGCCAAGAACCTAACCTGCTGTATAAGCTGGGCTCTCCTACACAGCAGTAGCCCAGAACCTAACCTGCTGTATAAGCTGGGCTCTCCTACACAGCAGTAGCCCAGAACCTAACCTGCTGTATAAGCTGGGCTTTCCTACACAGCAGTAGCCCAGAACCTAACCTGCTGTATAAGCTGGGCTCTCCTACACAGCAGTAGCCCAGAACCTAACCTGCTGTATAAGCTGGGCCCTCCTACACAGCAGTAGCCCAGAACCTAACCTGCTGTATAAGCTGGGCCCTCCTACACAGCAGTAGCCCAGAACCTAACCTGCTGTATAAGCTGGGCCCTCCTACACAGCAGTAGCCCAGAACCTAACCTGCTGTATAAGCAGGTCTCTCCTATACAGCAGTAGCCCAGAACCTAACCTGCTGTATAAGCAGGGCCCTTCTATACAGCAGTAACCCGGAACCTAACCTCCTGCATAAGCAGGGCCCTCCTGTGCTAGTGTAGCCATACCTTTTCTTCAACATTCTGTTAGGGTATTAGTAATATGAAAATATAGAATTTAAAAAATAATAGTAAAGATGGACAAGAAACTATAAATCATTAGGGATCACATCATGACTGGATTACCAGTACCAGTACCTTAATTCATAAACACGTTTAATCACTGTATACCATTTGCATGTATTCACTTTAATTTTGGGTGAAGTGTTAGGGAATACCACTATGCTTCCCTGAGAAGCTTTGAGTTAATTGGTGAAGTCAGTTGCTGTCACTGGCTCACCACTGCTGTTGCTGCTGTGTGTGTCAGCAGACTAGGTCAGTTGGTCAGTATCACCAAAACAAAAATGATTGCTAGGTGTGTACAATGAACAGACAAGTGTTCCATTGTTTGCTGAGAATTAGACAATAGCTGAAGCATTACCTACTTCAGTGATGGCTTGTTGCACTGCATAAGGCACTGTTACATGTTGATACATGGTATTGGTGTAAATACAATACCTACAACCACGACTAATAACTGGCTTGGCTGACCACTAACCACTGCCGGTAGTTTGAAGAATTACTACAGTCATTTACTGAATATCCCTTATTTATTATTTTTTAATTGTTCTTCTTTCAATAAACCAGCCATATCCCACCAAGTCAGGGTGACCCAAAAAAGAAAAGTGAAAGTTTCACTTTTTAAATTTAGTAATTTATACAGGAAAAGGGGTTACTAGCCCCTTGCTTCCGGCATTTTAGCCGCCTCGTACGGAGGAGAATTCTGTTCCACTTCCCCATAGAAATAAGAGGAAACTAGACTGGTAACTTATGTTGGGTTATTCAGGTTGGATTAGGTGGGTTTCATTGTTTGGTTATGTTTTGTTCATTTGCACAGCAAAATAATATCTCACCTGTAAAACCAACTTAATATTGTACAGTTCAGACTATAGTTAATGCAGAAATTATCTGAGTTACAGTCATTTACTTTTACCTTAACCCAGAAGTTGCTGCACAACCACCATAAATTGTACGTACTGTATTTTCTAATATCTCCCAAATAATAATAAAATGTATCAGCATAAGATCATCATATCATGAGAGTGTGAAATAAAAGACTGTAAAATATTTTGCACTAGCAAGATTGCTGGTCTTGTCTTTGTCTTAACATTCACAGTACACCAACATAAGGCAAAACATAGTTAATGTAAATTTCTGCATTGCTGAAACGTTATAAAAACGTTAATGGAAAAGGGAGGTATTTTTGGAAATACTTTAGAAGAATGCAGTGTGAGATAGCTCAACATTATTGAACTTTGCCATTGAAAATCATTGCTAGGCCAGTGAGGGAGTAAGTGGCGAGAATATTTTGAGGAACTTTTAAATGTTAAGGAAGAAAGGGAGGCGGTAATTTCATGCACTGGCCAGGGAGGTATACCATCTTTTAGGAGTGAAGAAGAGCAGAATGTAAGTGTGGTGGAGGTACGTGAGGCATTACGTAGAATGAAAGGGGGTAAAGCAGCTGGAACTGATGGGATCATGACAGAAATGTTAAAAGCAGGGGGGGATATAGTGTTGGAGTGGTTGGTACTTTTGTTTAATAAATGTATGAAAGAGGGGAAGGTACCTAGGGATTGGCGGAGAGCATGTATAGTCCCTTTATATAAAGGGAAAGGGGACAAAAGAGATTGTAAAAATTATAGAGGAATAAGTTTACTGAGTATACCAGGAAAA